TGTTTTCCCTCCAATTTATGCTTGAATGCCCTGTGGAATCTGAAGGCTCTGAGGTGAGGTTAACTCTCCTTGTCCCCTCACCTCAGGAATGTTGCAAAGCAGCCTCCCTATTGTGAGAACTGGTATCAAACTCCTTCTGGAATCTGAAGGTGCCCAGGCTCAGAGAGCATCTCAGAGGAATGAGAGTTTAGACAGAAATCAGTCTTCATCAGGGACAAAGGTGAGATACTTGCTTCCAGTTTTCCCTTCTGAAGTCTTTATAGGTCTTCCATTGCCTATCAAAGGCAAAACTCTATAAAATTCACAGTGTCACTTCTGGTGGTCCAATCTACACTTCCAGAAGATTCATCTGCCATAATTACCAACCCTCCCTCCCTGGTCAACCTCAATATGACTCAAGGGCAAGAGTTAGCCAAAGTAACACTTTACCATGTTTGTCCTACATGCCCAGGAAACACACCCCTACCTGTATCAGATAGTAACATGAAATAAATGAAGACTAACCAAATGAGAACAAGCCAAGTCTATTTATTCTGAGCTCCCTATAGCAACGGAGTCAGCTACCATCAAGTGCATTTTGGCAGAGACTCAAAGAAGGGCAGAGGAACAGGAAAGCTTTACAGTGGAAAGAAGGGAGGCTCCAGGTGTGCCCTGACGGGAGGCTGTTGACATGGGGAAGCTGGAGGCAGGCTAACTAGGAGCAGGACATCCTACGGGACTGGTTAGGGGAGCATATTTGCCTTTCTCTGGTTGGTCCTAAATTGGAAGTTGGGATGAAAATTAGGGAAGCTTATTAAGCTTAATAGCTTAATAACTAATCAGTTATTAGTCAAGTCCTGGGCATTTGGGGCTGATTGTTTCAGGGGTTATTGTTTGGCTTTCTAAACTGTCACTAGAGATAAAACAGTCTGACTTCCTACAAGTCTGGCCAGCTTCCTGGTCTGATTATTGTAGATAAAGGGTTGGTTTCCTGGGCTGGTTGCTGCAGGTTGTGGGTCAGAGTTCTATTTTTGTGTGTGTGTGTGTGTGAGGAGGACCAGCCCTGAGCTAACATTCAATGCCAATCCTCCTCTTTTTTGCTGAGGAAGACTGGCCCTGGGCTAACACCCGTGCCCATCTTCCTCTACTTTATATGGGACGCCACCACAGCATGGCTTAACAAGGGGTGCACTGGTGCGATCCCACCGGTTCAAATTGGGGGATCCAAACTGGTGAACCCCAGGCCGCTGCAGCGGAGCACGCGCACTTAACTGCTTGCCCCACCAGGCCGGCCCCCAGAGTTCTATTTTTATATACGGTCTGGCCATTGTTCACTTGTATAGTCAGTCTCTCAGTAAGGGAGGGTGTCAGGGGAGGACATGGTCTAACTGGCTTTGCATAAGGCATCCTCTAAGGAGGAGAGGAGAAAGACGAGTGTTCGCTTCCTCCACTTACAGCTTCTTGGCCACAGTTGGTGGGAAAACTGGAGAATTTAAAAAGGAAATGGAATAGACTAGATTTATAATTGCTGTTTAAGATATATTAAAGCATTTCATTAAGTTCGCAAGTGGAACCAAACAAAGGTCCCTTAAAAATGGCAGAATTTGCTAAATGTATGAAAAGAATAGGATTTGGGCTGAACTTGAAAGCCTAAGGAAAGAACTAGTTTTTCTGATCTGCAAATTTAATACACTTAAGGTAATTTTTTAAAACCAAAGCAAATTTGTGAAGTCTCTTTTGGGCAAAAAGAGTGCCCCTGATGGCACCAACTACACTTCCTGGGACCTCTGAGGAGGGGCTGGGCTGGGGTGGGGTGAGGGTGGGACTTAGGTTTCCCGCACAGCCCTTTTGTACAGCTTGGGATTTCTTAAAGTTGCATTTCTTTTATATTCATATACTTCTTTTATAATCATTGTTTTTAAAGCTACTTAAGATTTGTCTGCACTAAAATCACGTTGGCAGTGAGATAACATGTAAGTAAACAGCTGGCATGCTGCTTGGGGTGTGGGGAGGTCAGATAAATACCAATTATTTAAGATCTCTTCATCCCCCCAAAGGAGAAGGGGGTACTTTGCTTAAGAAATTAACTTCTAGTTGCCCCTTTGCTGGACTTAAAATTGCTTGAAGGGAAGAATAACATTATTAGTCCTGGTCCCAAGAGCAGCATTTAAGGATCTGAAAAGGCTTCTTCCTGTTGGTCCAGTTATAGATTACATTTGACTTAAAGTCTTATTAGAAGCCTAAGGAGATTTAAGCTAGTGAAGAAAAAAATCAAAGGACAGAATGAGTTAAAATCTGGATTATATGTTGTCCAGGATAAAAAAAAAAAGTTGATTTTTGTAAGGAGATTTTCCTTTATATTCTCCATAAATTCCCCTTTGTATACCCAGGGCCATGGCACGTCCAAACAGAGCTTTTCTGAGACTTATTATAGACGTGCCCTCTCTGGGTGACACTGGCCCCTGTGATCGTGGTTTAGCATGCAGAAGCCACCTTCATGCAATTAGAGAAAAGCACCTCTTCCTGGTGCGGAGGCAGCCTGACACTAGGGCACCTGGCGTGGTGGGCAGAGGTGGGCCCACCTAGTCTCCAGGCTTCATGCCCTGGACGGGGCTCAGTCCCAACAACCATATGCAGCAGCCCTGGCAGAAACCCCACCCCCAATTCCCACACAAACCCTGTTTCAAAGTACGTGTAGGCTGTGAAAATATAATTTTAGATACAATCTACCCAAAAGTACACATTTGTTATCTGAGCGATACATAATTGGTAAATAGCAAATATAGATTTGCCTTCTTTCTTAAAAACTTTAAGACAATTAAGTACAGGGTAGACCACAGAATTGTTTTTAAAAATGAATTTATTGAAATGCTCATAATTATAAAAGAACATTAAAATGCACAGAAATTCACAAAACATTACAAACTTTACATGTTATGCCATAGTGTATGAAAAGCGTCACGTATGTTTCAGTTAGTTCTACGTTAGTTAAGCTGCTTATACATTTTAACTTTTCACCTTAAAATATAATATGAACATGATAAAATGGTACAAGAAGTGTTTCAACAAGAGAGCACATTCTACCCTCATATTGTGAATTAATGTTTTCTTACATTCAAGATGCACGTGCAACTAAAAGAGAAGACTTTTGGTGACAAACAGTTTACAAGACGGCCTTGTTTTGTTTTCAAACAGAAATGACAGCTTCTGAGGGGGATCGTTAAAGGAAAATCCCCTGAGTATTTTGGTCTAATGCTTCAATCCATTAAAATTCACAGGCATTACAAAAGAATATACAAACTAAAATGTCTCTAGTGGTTACCACTGGGCAGGTCTAGGGCCCGATTTTCCCTTCACAGGTCCGCTGCCACACCCACCCTTTTTCTAGGGGTGCTGCCTCTGCTCACATTTACAGATCCAGCCCACAACTGCCTGCAGACACAGTCCCACATTTTTCTTTAGCACCGACAAGTCAGCACTAGACTTACATTAACACCGTCGGTGTCACAGGTGACCCTGCATCCCCCACTAAAATGTAGCTGTTTGGGAATATTGGCAGTGTCATACATCACATTTGCTGCCGTTAAAAATGTAGAGGTTTTTTCCCTCCTGTCCACAGAAGCACATTTTAAACTATAAAGACGATTTATGAAGGATGATTTATGAAAACGTAAATGCACACTTCTTTGGAAGTTCTATTTTATATACAAGGAGATAAGGCAAAAACATTTCCTTTCCTATGCGTCCATAAACAGTGAGTAATTGCGAAATCCAACACTAGGAGATAGTCATACACTTCAGAGAAGAGAAGAGGTAATACGAGAGGAAGCGACCCCACTTCCAGGAGCAGTATCAGAGGTGAGCGGGAAAGGAGCAGTGCACCGCCCTCCAGGCTGTGCACGATGAGAAACAGCCTCCCCACTGGGAAGAAATTAATTTCTCACTCCCTGTGCAGTCATACCTCACGTGCCTGTCGTGAGCACTCTCTGATCATATCGTTAACATCATCAAGCAAGTTAGTGAAATGTTGTCCCTGATCCACTGGGACAATTCAAAAGTCTAGAATACTGCTTTGATGAAGCCTACATAAATACTGTTTTTTGTTTTTTAACATTCATGGCAGGCATTTAGAATTGTGACCTGGAGTTAAGCTACTCTACGATAACAAGCATCTAAATCTACTCACTGAAACATGTTTCATTTTCCTTTGCTGCTGGGATTCTGAGCAACTTGGCTCCTGGGGCACCTGAGCATTTAGCAGCATCCCAGTGGGTGGTGGCCCGTCTAGCAAGAACCTGGTGCAAGACACCCTCTCCTGCACCCAGCAAGGCCCTGTTACAGTCAAGGGTGAGGGTGTGGGCCCTGTGTCTTCTCCAGAGCCTACCAGAGGGCCTGGCACCCGAAAAGGCAGTGAAGCGCAGGAAAGACTGATGAGCTGAACAAATCAAGGGCAAGAGATACATAGTGATAGAGGAAGTTACCTCTAGCTAATGGCAGGGTTTGTGACCAAACCACTTTCTTTGCTTACCCTTAATGGCCTGATTGGCCTTAGGGGAGGCTGGAAGCTAAATCAAATCCAGAGTCTCTTGTCTTGATTGGGAATAATCTGGGCATACTCCTGTTTCTCCCCCTTGCTCCCCGCGAATGCTCTCCTGGTGCAAACATGCAATTACAAACAAGTTACCAGGCTGGGAATAAGAAAATGGGGGCTACAATGAGCTACCTTCACTATGGCAGATGCTTTGGTATGCTGATCACTTGGACGTGCAGAATCCCTGCCAAAAGGCAACACACGGGACACAGGGTGGCTCATAATGAGGGCAACTCTCCATTCTCTTAATCATGCACAGCACCGACATGTCACAATGGCTGTGTAGTGAGCCATTCACAATGGTGCTTGTGATGTGTAATACTGGACCTCTTGTATCTAATGAATAAAGGGCAACTGGTGGGAAATTGATGGGCTTATCTTTTCCGGACCATTACGTTGATAAAAATGTAATTTTAATCACTTGATTTCATTTTTTTCAAGAAACTACACATCTTTAGAAGAAGTAAATTAATTATCCTGATCAATATGAATTACAACTCTATTTGAATCTGTAACTTTCTCTGCTTTTGTCATCTACTCCCTTGAGATTTGCAAAGCAGTCAACATTGATTAGGCACAAAACATTCCAGGAGAGCTCCTGGAAGATAAAAGGTGTCACTGTGGATTAGCACAAATACACCTCAGAACCTTGCTATCGTCGTTCCAATTCATTAAGAGTATTTCTCTGAGATGGAAAGATAGGCCAAAATGAAGACTGAAACTATTTCCTCTTATTCACTGAGGTTTCCTTTTCTGTAGGGATGTGATAATACACCTAAATGTTGTGAATTCTTGAGTCTGTTTGCCACTTAATACAGCACTCAAACTGAATTCTGAGTTAACTATTTTTAATCACACAAAGCTAGCATGTCTAGTCTTTAATGATGGTGCTGTAAGGGAAAGATAACTCTGGAACAGATCTGGCCAAGTGAAGAAATGAAACCCTGCCTGACAATAAGAGATCACGTGCTTGAGAACAGAAAGGAAATGAAAGTAATCAAACAGAGGGAAAAAAGAATCCATTCTGTTTTAGAAGGGGTGGTTTTTAAACACACTAAGAGACTTTTTTGTTAGTGAAATTCCAATTTATCAAAAAAAGGTAACATTTTAGATTTTCCAGGTGATTAATTTTATGCCCTTCTTGATCAAAGTTTTACGTTTTCCAGTTCCTGTATCGGTAGCTGAAACTGAAAAATAATCTACATGAAAATGGCAATAGTTAAGACTCATATTTGCCAAAATGACTTGACTTAAACATTCTCATTAGTGATTCATAATATACGTTGACAGAGCTATATTCTTTATTCTTTAAAGTGCTTCTCAGAACATAAACCTCTTATTCTAATTTTGGTCGTAAATTGTTATCTATTACTCCTACCATCCTCTCAGCTATGACCCCCCAATTTTTTGTCATATCTTTGAGGTGATTCTCATGGAGAAGCTTTTGGGTTAGGTATTTTTCTCTCTTGATCTTGCTCTTCGTGCTTTTCGATACGTCTGGAATTGCATATGAAATGAAAAATTTCACAGAGTAGATGAAATGCTGAAGGAGAGAAGAAGAAAAATGTCAATCACAGAGAAATGGAGGGGAACACAGAGTTCCTTTCATTTATTTTGCTGGTCATTAGAGCAGTATATGTGGTGAGCATTCTACATGAACATCCAATCTCTCCTGCCATAATGTGGCTCTGCCAAGTAGCTATATTTTTTTACTTTATAAATTTCAAGAATACTATTTGATATGTAGAAAAGAATATATCTAAAATCTCTATCACTCGCCATGACCCTGACAATGCTGTAGTATTTTTTTGGGTGTGTTCCTTTTCTCTCTGGTTCCCAGGCTTCTTCCCCAGAAGTAAACACTATCCTATCTGTGTAAGTATATGTATATCGTTTTCTTTTATTTTCACTTCTGTATAATATTCCACTGTTTGAATACACTATAATTTATTCGTTCCTCTATCAAAAGGTTGTTCCTCTATCAAAGGCTTGTTTCTAGTTTTTGTATTAGAAATAATGATGTTGGGAATGTTCTTGTGCTTGGATTCTGGAGTTTATCTGTGAGAGTTTCTCAAAAGTATACACCTACAAGTAGAACTGCTGAGACTCTATGTTACATGAATGTTCAATTTTTCAAGATGGTACCAAAGTATTTTCCAAAGCAGTTATACCAGCTTATACTCCCCCCAGCAGTGTGTGAGGGTTTCAGCTGCTCTGTATCCTTGCCAACACTTGTTATCAGACATTTTTTTTTTTTTTTTTGGTGAGGAATACTGGCCGTGAGCTAACATCTGTGCCCATCTTCTTCTCTTTTGTATGTGGGATGCCGCCACAGCATGGCTTGATGAGTGGTGTGTAGGTCTGCATATGGGATCCCAACCCATGAACCCCCGGCCGCCGAAGCAGAGTGCACAAACTTAACCACTACACCACCAGGCCGGCCTCCAGACATTTTTTTTTAACCAACATAGTGATTTTGAAATGGACTTTCACTTTGGTCTTCCTTTGCATTTCCCTGATGACTAATGAAGTTGAACACCTTTTTATTTATTCACTATTTAAAGATCCCTGATCTAGGAAGGGGATGGAGATAATACACAATAAACATAATTAAAAACAAACAAATTATACATGGTTCTAAAAAGTGATAAGAGTTATGAGAAAACAGTAAAGCAGAGTAAGAGTTATTGTGAGTGTTATGGCGGGAGGTGAATTTTATATAGATTTTATACAGATTAGTCTGAATATGCCTCACTGAGCAAAGATTTTAAGGAGGTGAGGGAATTAGCCATGCAGATAAATATCAAGAGGAAAGACATTCTAGGCAAAGGGAACAGCCAGTGCAGCGTCTATATGGTGGAAGCCTGCAGGATGTATTCCAGGAATGGCAAGGCTAGAGCAGAGTGAGGAGGAGAGAAGTGACATCAGAGAGGTAACAGAGCATGACTAGATTGTGTGAGACCTTGTATGTCATTGTAAGGACTTTGGTTACTCTGAGTGAGATATGAAGACAATAGGGAGCCCAGTTAGGAGACTGTTGCCCTAATTCAGGCAAGAATTGATGGTGGCTCCAACCTGGGTGGTAGCAGTAGAGCTGGTAAGAAATGGTCAGATTTGTGATATATTTTCCAGGTAAAAGCCAATAGGACTGAATGTGGGGTGAGAGAGAGAGAGAAAACATGGAGGACTCCAAGAATTCTGACTTAAACAACTGGTGAGAGGCAACTGCCATAACTGAAAAGGGAAAGACTGACTGTGAATGGAACAGATTTAGGGCAGGGTTGGGAGGATTACATCAGGAGTGGATTTAAGAAAATTCAGGAATTTGGGGCAGTAGAGTTGCAATATCTGTTAGATATCCAAGTAGAAAGGTCAAGTAGGCAGTTGGATTCATGGGTTGAGTTCAGGAGAGAGGAAATTTGGAGATATCCATTTGTGAGTCACTGGCATATAGATGGCATTTAAAGCCAATGGACTGCATGAGATCATCAAGGCTGCAAGCAGAGAGAAAAGAAGACAACCAAGGAATGAGTCCCAAGATCATTAAGGAGAAGAGAAGGAAGGGACTGGCAAAGAAATCAAGAAGAAAATACAGAAATTAGAAAATGTGTTTCCTAGGAGCCAAGTGAGGAAGAGTTTCAAGGAGGAGAGAGAGATCAGCTGTGTCAAATGCTTCTGATCAGTTAGGTAATGTGAGGGTGGAGACTATTTTGAGATGAGAGAGATATTAGTGTGTTTGAATGACGAAAATTCCATAGTAAAGAGGCAAAAGTTGATACTGTAGGAAGGAGAGGTTTTTTTTTCCCATCTATTTCTGAGGTAGATTATATTTATAGATATGTGGATTTTCTATGTTACCTTGCACTTCTGGGATAAAGCCAATGTGGTTTGATGTCCTCTCATCTGCACATTTTATTTTATTTTATTTATTTATTTATTTTGTGAGGAAGATCAGCCCTGAGCTAACATCCGATGCCAATTCTCCTCTTTTTCCTGAGGAAGACTGGCCCTGGGCTAACATCTGTGCCCATCTTCCTCTACTTTATACGGGATGCCGCCACAGCATCGCTTGACAAGCGGTGCATCGGTGCCCGGGATCCAAACCTGCGAACCCCGGGCCGCCAAAGCAGAGCATGCGCACTTAACCGCTGTGCCACCAGGCCAGCCGCTTGTCTGCACGTTTTAAAAAGATCTTTGCATCTATGTAATTAGGGAGATTGGCTTATAATTTTCCTTTCTATTATGTTTTGAGTTTAGGATCTAAAAGGAGTTGGAGAGTATTTCCTTTTTCTGACCTCTGGAGGAGTTTGTGTAAGATTAAAATAATCTGTTCTAGAAAGTTTGGGTATCACTCTCCCATGAAACCATACGGCCTGGTGTCTTCATTGTGGAAAGATTGTTCAATTACTCAGTTTTGCTATAATTCTAGGTTTGCAGCTGCCTTCTCTAGCATTTTGAAGATATTAGATTACTCTCTTCTGGCTTCCATTGTTGCTGTTAAAAAGCCTACTCTCATTCTCATTTTAATTTTTATTGTCAGTCATCTGTCTTTTTTCTCTGGTTAACTGTAAGATCTCATCTTTGGTGTGCTGCCTTCCCCTTACACTGTGTGGTAAGTGTGGATTTCTGTATTCTGCTTGATATATATTGTGCTTTCTGCTCTGTCAACTGATATCTTTCATCTACTCTGGAAACACTTTAGCCCTTAACTCTTCAAATACTGCCTCTCCTCTATTCTCCATTTTTTTCTTCTATGATTTTTTTTTAAGATAATCTTTCTCATTCTCTCTTCCATATTGCTTAACCTCTTTGTATTTTCCATTTTCTTATCTCCCTGTGATGTGTTAGGGGTAATTTTTTCCAGACCTATCTTCTAATTCACTAACGCTCTCTTCGTATTTGCCTAAACTTCTGTTTAATCCATATGTTAATTTTTTCATTTCAGCAATATATATTTTTATTTTTAAAAGTTTTATTTATGTTTCAAAATTGCCTTATAATGTTTTATAGTTTCTTATTGTTTGCCCATTTTTGATTCTGTCATTTATTTGTTTAAATGTTTTCATATACAGTTAATTTATATTCCTTATCTGATCATTCAAACTCTTGAAGTTACTGAGGGTCCAAATCAGTTGTTTTTTTCTGCTGAATCTCTCTTTTTTTTTTTTTTGAGGAAGATTGGCTCTGAGCTAACATCTGTTGCCAATCTTCCTTTATCTTTTTTTTTTTCCCTCACCAAAGCCGCAGTACATAGTTGTGTATCCTAGTTGTAGGTCCTTCTGGTTCTTCTACATGGGACGCCACCTAAGCATGGCTCGATGAGTGGTGAGTAGGTCCACGCCCAGGATCCGAACCAGTGAATCCTGGGCCGCCAAAGCAGAGCATGCAAACTTAACTGCTATGCCACTGGGCCAGCCCCCATTTTTTTTTTTTTTTATTTCTCCTTGTCATCGTTGATCTTTGATTGTAAGCTCATATTTGATTATCTCAATCTGAGAAAAACCTGGGATCTAAATCAAGGACACTTTTCTCCAAAGAAGATAGGCATTTCCTTCTGCTCTGAAGCAAATTTAGTCCTTTTTGGGTCCCCGGATAAATCTCAGAATCTTAAGCTCAGCTCTTCTACTTCACTTTTGACCCAAGGCTTGGTCTCCTTGAGCTTTTAGATGGAGGCACTCACAATAGCACTCATTCTCAGAGCACTGCTGAATGTCAGGGGTGCTCATTGCTCTATTTCAGCCCATCACCATTTTTTTCCCTCTTTGTAGATTCTCCTCCCTTCTAGTGAGCTCAAAAATGCAAAGGAAATTATGTTTTAAGCTGATTCTACATGTTTTACAGGGGGATGGCCCCTCACAGTATTCAGTCCCCATGACATCAAAAGCAGAAGTCTAAACACTTTGACAACTACATATTTGAATATAAAGTAGTGACTCTTGCTGATATATCAGATACTGTACTTCAAGAATCCACGTATGATGGTGAGCTAATGAGGAATTATGTTCCTCTTCCATTAATGTTTGGCAGCTATTAAAAAAAATACTAGAAAAATGATCAAAGCCAGGTACCTATCCCACTTCTTTCTTGCTAACAGATTCTGATTTTATTCAGAGCAAACTAAATACCTCCTGTCTCAGCCTACTTTGCTGCTGGGAGGAACCATGTGCTACAGTTCTAGCCAATGAGATATAGCTGGAAGTCTGCTCTGGGAGCTTCTGGCAAGAGGAACAGATATGGCAAGCATTGCCCTTCTTCTTCCTACCTGGAACATAAATGTGTTATCTGGAGGTGGAGCAGTCATATTACAACCATGAAGTGACATACAATGAGAGAAAACCTGGAGAATCAGAGATACTGTCCTTGTATCAGTGAGTGGTATTGATTCAGGAGCAACTACTTACTTCTAGTGAACTTTGTTATGTGAGAAAAATCAACTGTAATTTTTTTTTTAATTGACCATGAGCTAACATCCGTTGCCAATCTTCCTCTTTTTGCTGAGGAAGATTGGGCCTGAGCTACCATCTGTGCCCATTTTTCTTTATTTTGTATGTGGGATGCCACCACAGCATGGCTTGATAAGCGGTACGTAGGTCCGTGCCTGGGATCCGAACCTGCAAACCTCGGGCCACTGAAGCAGAGTGCCCCAACTTAACCACTATGCCACTGGGCCGACCCCTCAACTGTACATTTTTTTTTTTTTGAGGAAGACTAGCCCTGAGTTAACATCTGCTGCCAATCCTCCTCTTTTTGCTGAGGAAGATTGGCCCTGGGCTAACATCTGTGCCCACCTTCCTCTACTTTGTATGTGGGACACCTGCCACAGGATGGCGTGATGAGTGGTGCGTAGGTCCACGCCCAGGATCCAAACCTGTGAACCCTGGGCCACTGAAGTGCAGCACGCGAACTTAATCACTATGCCACTGGGCCGGCCCCTCAACCGTAATTTTTTAAGCCACTGTAGATGAGCTTTCTGTTTCTTGCAGCTAAATGTAATCCTAACTGACCACACCAATCAAGCAACTTCTGAGGCTTTGGAATTTGGTAGTAGTTATCCACTCAGGGGAAGAAGTAAAGTCGGCTAGATTAATTTTAAATTTATAGCTGCCTTAGTCATTTTTTAGAGCTAGTTAACTTTAGGGATATAAAAAACTATTATAAGAAGGTATATTATGAAAATGCAATAAAAATACTTAATACTAATACAAATAAAACTATTCTAGCAACAAAAGTTTCTCAAGGGCAGAGATCACATCTTATTCGTCTTGAATAAGCCCGTTCACAGTCTAACATGCAGCCCGATGCCCCAAATGAAACAATGGCACTCAATTAAGACTGAACCGAAAGGAAATGAATCCCCCAAAACACAACATGCTTTTAACTTTTAAAGCAGATAACCAACTTCATTTACTTAATGAGAGCATTATGCGTATTCTCAGGTCAAATCTGATTAATAGATATCCTAAAATAATGATTAGCAAGAGATAAGAATGTACGGCACATTTTAAGTCAGAGTTGGCAACACCTGAAAGCTAATAAAAGGTCTGCAAATACACTGTCTTATAAACTATTTCAAAGTAGACTTCTCCTACCTCCATGACAATGATAAAAGCCAGCTTGGCTGCGATCACGTGCCAGTAGTAGATGTTGTGTTTATACTGCTGTGGGTGTCCGGGAGGGTACCGGAAATCACGATACCTGGAAACAAAATGGAGGCATGTCAGGAGATAATTCTTTTTGATCAAATACTATAAACAAGGGCCCGTTTTAAGAGAGGTCATATTTAATGCAATGCTCTCTTAAATTGCACATCATATAAATTTTCTCCAAGAGTTCAATTTGTTGATAAAACCCTCAAATAACTACTCCAGTAATACTTCATTTAACATACAATAGGGAGATGATGGTAATGACATTTCATTTTTGTAAGAAAGAACAAAAGTATCTTAAATTTTTTTTGCCAGCGTTTTATCCCTGCTTTCTCGAAAGAATATATCTAAAACAATTTAGGATATTTTCAGAAACATGTTTATAAATTTATTTATATAATGGTGTCATCAGGGTTCACTCAGCTATGGGGTTATCTCTCCCTATACAGAGTACTACCTGCTTGTTATAATTTTCTTACCTAATTTTTTTGCTGTCAGGTGTTATGTGCTACTGCTGTTAATCTATCTCCCTCAGGTAGCACATTTCTAATTTTCTGCCTGTAACCTACTAGACCTAGAAGAGTTTAATTACTCTTTAGAATTATATAAAGTAAGAATGAGCAGATTCAATGTGGGACTCTGAGGAGGCTCTACTATGTGTAACGCTGAAACACTGATTTGGGTCTTATTTCTGGTTTCTAGATTATGTTGTTGAGAATATGAATCAGAGAAGGCATTAGTTGAACAAAATGAATTTAAAGCCTCCTTTAGGTTTAAGACTGATTAAAAAAGACTCTATGACCTATAGTCAACAAACTTTATCAACTGGTAATTTAGTTGATGTATACTGTCCACAGTTGTAAGTATACTTACCAGCTACTGAACTCAATGCAGACAGCTTTGGAATGTTTTTAGAGAATACTGCGAGGCTAGGCTGAAGTATTTACATTTCCTGTCTTTGTATTTCTTTAAGTGAGGGTGCTAGTTTGTCATCATTCAATATCATCAGGTTGTGCTTGAATAACACAGTCATAACAACTGAATTATCTTGCTTTTTGTAACTCTTAGAGTTTCTTCATTTCTCAGATATAAGACTTTTCTCTGGGATCAGTGTCCCTCTAATCATTTGAAACTCTCATCTTTAAATCTTGCTTTATGGTTTGATTTGAAAGTTCTAACCCTAGTCTGTATTAATTTTTATATCTTATCCTTTTTTAAGTTTGATTGAAAAGAAACCTAGGAAAAAATGTCTCTAGGAATTTCATTTAAATGATACCAAATAGAATTACATGACAATAAAAGTTCTTTAAAAGATGAAATGCATTTTTAAATATGGAAGCAGAACTTGCCTGCACGTGGTAAGGTTACCAAACTCAGAGTCTGAATTTTCATAGCTTTTGTCTTTAAAGTCCGAGATGCTGAAGACGGAGAGCGTATTGTTGATGTATCCCGCCATGGTGTGGTGCACGTGGTCCCCATAGGGAGGAACGGAGAAGGACCAGTAATACACCAGGCGGGGGATCATGTCTGATGTGAAAGCAATGATCATGGCCTGTGTTGGTAGGAAAACAATAAAGGGGGCATTAATTTACAGCCTTTCTAGCTATAGTTAATGAACATACCAGAATTACATTTTCATGATTTGATTTTTTTTAAATTAAAGATTCAGAAACCTTCTTTCCTGTCAAATGGATATAGTAGCGAATGTTTTCAAATCTTTGAGTCTTTAATTCTAAGGGAATGTCCTCAACTCCACCTGCAGTTCAAAAGCAAAGGCCTGGAGTTCTACTTGATATAATAAAAATCAACCTTCGAGCTCTACGTGATATAATTTTAATCTTTCTTTTATGATTTAGATTTAGAAGGCCCTTTTGTATATGTAATACTAAGGTCAATATTATGAAAACAGTTTGGCTTTATATAATTCCCTTTGGAAATAATCAATATAAAACTGATTTTATCACTTGCCTCTTAAAAATACAATGTAAACTGCATAATATATTTTCCTTGATCTAAGTAAATAATGGCCTTCAAATGTATCTTGACTTATTTAGACAAGGCAACCCTAGTCTGATTTATTTCAAACTCTCCATATATACTTATGGATGTTGCATTATTAGACAGCAAGAATTTTTTATTAATTTTAATAAAATGTAGGTAGCAGGAAACTATATTGGAGTTGTTCCATTCACAGTCAAGCAATGATGTCTATTTTGTTAGATCTATTGTCTAAGCCTCTGAACTTCCAAAAGATTAAACGGATAAAGTTATGCACACTACAAATTATCAAATAACAAACAAAGTTTAGCGTGTTCCCAGATTAAAGGAATAAATATGAGTCGATCTTAAACCTGGGTCTGTGTCAGGCTGACATCTATTAGGATGTAAAGCTATTATGAATTACATGAATTTTCTCTAAAGTTCTTTAATTTGGGCTTTAAGCTCTCCAATGTGTAAAACTGGTTTAAAGGAAAGAGAAAGTAAAGAATATACTTTAATCCAAATTCTATGTGAATAAACAAAGCTAAATGATTCAGTCATTTATTGAAGCAGCAGAACAGACATATTTTTGGCACAAGATAATTTTTAATAGTATTCATCGGAACATATGGTTTAGCCACAGCGAGACCACAAGCCAACAAACAAGATCTCAGGCAAAGCAAGAAAAACAACTAAGGGGCTTTTCTGTGGCAAAATTTCTCCTACTAGAATCAGCTTTGTCATTTCCTCTTAAGTGAACTATCTCTGTGAGTGTGTGTGTGTATGTGTATGTGTGTGCCTGCCTGTCAGTGGTGGTCATGGTGGTGATAGGGTAAGGCAAGAATATTTTACTTTTTCCAGATTTCAATAGATTAAAATTTCCTGTTATCATTTAACTCAATGATAGGTTTTTATAGAATCACCTGCAGATGGGCTTCAGGAAACTACAAAAATTCCAACAAGGAAGAAAATTCTATTGTCTTCTGACAAGATACTTTTTCCTCCTGAATTGAGCTGCTTTGAGACATGCTTCTAGAGTACAAATAAATGCAGTGGGCCTCATTTTCCATGCTCTTCTGAACACAATTTTCCATTTATATCAAAATAAATTAAAATTAGTCTTCAATAGCAGATGCCCTGGCATGATACAACAGTGTCAATTCGGCTTATTTATTGAACCAGCAGCTTTAAAATGAATGATTTTATACCAAACTCCTGCTTGACATCCATTCTCATCTTTCTGCTGGCTATTCTATTCTTCCTACAGTTAAAAGTTCTCCTATTATGGAAAGTTAGCCTTTTTGGTGCACATTAGATTGTGGAGGCACACATTAGGTAAGTGAAAGGATAATATACGTGTTTAATTCTTATATACACGTATACAAACATACACAGGACCTGCATCTTGGAAGCTGTAATAAAGCCTAATAATACAGAAAAAAGGATTGTCTATAGTTTAATTAATGATCTAAGAAGCAGTTTTCCTCAAGTATAATAAAACGATGCCTAAGTTATAAGAAAAAACAACTACTGGATAAGAACCAGTAGCACCAAGTAGCAGGCGCGTGTGCGCCTGTGTGTGTATACACACACACATTCACATAGAGTAGCCTTAGAAACAAAGCCAATACTCCATCTGTGCTAATGGAGTGGAGCCATGCTGGGGAGACCAGGAAAAGGTGCCTAATACAATCAAACCAGGATGCTTGAGGAATGGGGAGTATGAGTCAATTGAATTTTCTGGTTAGCTGAAGGTCAAACAAAAACACTTTTAGTTTCAAACCCTGCTGCTGAAAATTTTCCTAAAGCACACGAGTCCATGTTCCTGCCTTGCTTAGTGTTGTATAGCATATTGAACATGACAGATTCATCCTTTTATGACTATGGAACTTGAAAGGCCTCACTGTCATATTTCTGAACATCAGTCTTCATTTTGCAGCACAGTGGATGTTGAAGGTGTGGGCTATTTAGGTAAATGGAAACTGACATAACCTAGAAGTTTTTTGTGCGTGATCTGCAACTTTCTCCAAAAAGTAGGGAGAGCATGCAATTCAGATAAATTGAGGGTTCTTGGGGCGGGAGTGGGGGGCTGACAGCTGGGTTCCAGATACCTGGTTCATTGTGTAAAATTGTAACTGTGGTCCAGATAGTGACACATTGTAAAATTCTTGTGCCTCTAGTTTAGACACCTGTCCAAGTCTACATGGAGTCACTGTTAATGATGATGAGTAATAAAGATGATAAAATAGCAGCAGCTAACATTCCATGAGGACCAGGCTCTGTGTATTCCACACATTAACTCACTGAATTCCCTAACCACCCTTGGTAGTATATAATATTTTTAAAATATGTGATAGGAATTATTCAATTTACAAATGATAAAATGAAGCTCTGCAGTTTTAAGGCCTGGCGCAAGATCATGCAGCTGGGAAGCTGCAGTGCTAGGAGCTGGAGCTCAGGTCTGATGCCAGAGTCTGCAGGGCTCAGCAACTTCCCTCGTCCAGGGGCCTGACCCACAGGCACTGCCAAATTCTGTTCTATTTCTACAAGTGCTTGTGGGAAAACGCTGGGGGACTCAGGGCAAGTGTGGCTTGATTAAGAAATTAAAACTGGGATATCATTTTGTTAGAGACTGTGACTAGGGAGTGAAATAAGGGAGGAAATAACCCTGGTTTTAAAGGTATTTCTAGGGAAGGAGATCCCTTGATGGGCTGGCATGGGAATTGCTCTGCCTGAGAGCTCCCTGTTGGCCTGTGCAAAAAAAAAAAAAAGACCGTTCCCACTGGTCCATAATCAATACAGGTTATATACAACTGAATTCTGTTCCCTCACAGCTGGGATATTATGCAGGGCGTGAGGGTGCTTAGCTAATGACCAGAGAGAGTGGTTGGCAAAGACCAACGAGTGGGGTGGGGAGGAAAGATGGGACTCGCTCTAAACCCGCCTCTTTGAAGAACCTCTGCCCTAGGGGACAAGGAAAGTAACACATGATTGGGAATGCACAAAGTGTTTATACTTCATCATCAAATAATTCATATTTTGATAGTTTGGGATGTATAGTAAAATATGGTGGAATGTTAGCCCTTATTTTAGGATCCTCAAACTCTAAATGGATGGATTTCTATCTCCATTATAAAAGCACTATTGGATAACTCCTTTTATAGTCATGTGAGGACTGAAAGAGTTAGTACTTATTACTATTACCATGTTTCTATTGAATATAAACTTCAGCAATGAGCAACAAAAGTATAAATGGTTACTCTTCTTAGCAACTGCCTCTGTAAGAGGTCTTGACTTTCTAAGTCAAGAATAATAATAAACAATTAAAATATACTTAAAAAAGAATAACAATTACAGTTATAACAACTATGTCATTTATACAGATGATAGTATTGGCATCTTCCTCCCATTTTCAAAAATACTAAACATTTGATTCCTTAAATGGCAACCCTAATGCACTTTTGGACTTTTCAAGGTCTTTACTCTGTGAAGCCTAAGTTTACTCACATTGGTCACCACAGCCAGAATTGCTATTCCTTGCATGATGGGCTGCCATGCTCCGATGTCTTGGGTTTTTTCTGGCACCATGCGTCTATACTGGGTAGTCATTTTCCACGCGTCCACTCTTATTTCCAATATATTGTTCACCAGAGCCAACAGAGGGGCCAGTGGAAAAGAGGCCACAAATAAGGTGACGAACCCAAACTGAATAACTGTCAATGGAATGGACACACATCATGGAGGGGTGGATGGATGGAAGGACAACATATTTTCCTTTACTCTTATAAAGAAAGAGAAAGGCAAACAACAAACTAAATCCCAAAGAGAAAAGACATCTGTGGTAATAATAACATTCAACAGTGAAAGAATCCAAACAAAAGACAAATATGAAATCTCTAGAAAGAAGACTAATTATAGCCTGTTTCTTTCACATGTATACACTTAATAGGAATAATATATTTAAAAATCTGTAATCAACCAAAGTTGTTTGCTGGTAATAAACTTGGGACAATCTAAGCATATTATTCATTCTCAATGTTGAAACAATACAATGTTGGAAGATGATTCATGATTTAAGATTTTTAAAAAAAGGAATACTGTAGAAGTATCTACTGTTTAAAAAGAAATAAGACATGTACCTTTGAGAAGGCTATGCTTACAGAATTTTGGAGGAAATATGCTGAAAATAGGCAAGTGAGCCAGCTCCCCTGAGTCTGCGAATGCAAGTGCAGCGCATTCAGAGAATTTGTGGTATTATTACAAATCACAGAAATGTATGTGATAAAAGTGTCTTAGTAAGTCAAAACATAATCCTTCTTTAGGAATTTTTATCTTGAAGTTGTTACAGTCTATGTGGTCACAGTGGGTCAAAATTCAAGTGGTGGCTTAGGAGTTCATTTTTCCTTGTCTGTAATTTATGCCCTTGCTATAGATGCAATAGATAGATGCTGCTATCTCTGCAGCAGAGATCTGGGGTCAGCTGTACCATGGGGAGTCAGAGGCTAGAAATGATAAGGGCGAAGATCTAAAAAAGAAACTTTTCAGTGTTAGACCCTTCCCTCCTAACTGGTAGGGAAGGAGGAGGAAAAGTTGAGAGGAAAAGTTACAGCCCCTGTAGGACTACTGCTCAGACAAGGAGCAGAGACCACCAGGAAGGGCAAGACTGTGGAGGGGGTGGCTAAGTCGGAGGAGCTGGCATTTGCTTCTGGTCTGAGAGGCCAAGGTGTGTTGCATGAGAGCAGATAAGGCTGGAAACATCTGGCAGGTCCACAGGCCAGGAAGGAGCCATAATACTCGGGGAAGTCAGGCAAAGACCAGAGTTAGTGATGTCACAGGGTCACCAGCATAGCACCAAGTAATGATGTCAACATCTGTGTCTACGACTCACCTAAGCCTAAATAAACTCATCCACCCACAGGGGCCAGGCAAGTAATAGAAATGTGTGGCGTGGGTGCAGTCAACTGTGGTAAACTGGTAAGTGCATGTCCTAATGAAAGGGACCCACTCATAGTCGCCATTTTGGAATGAGGGCCCAGTGTCGCCAGATCTCCTTATTATTCAAGAGAAGCCAGAAATTAGGACTATATTAGTAATAAACCCCGTTAAAAATCCAAAAGAGAAAAGATACCATTTATAATGACAACAAAAGCACAGACCATTTAGGAAAAAATTAGTGAGAAATGTTTAGACTGCTATGACAATTGACTTAAAAAAATAAAGAAAAACAAATGATGAATGAATGAGTGAATGGTAGGATGTACTATACGCTTAATTCGGCAGACTCAAGTTTGGGGACACATCAATTTTTTTTCTCCAAAATATAATCTAGAATTCTAATGAAAATTTAGTTAATAATCCCAAATGGATTTAAGAAAAAAAGCTGAAAGGTGATGCTCAAGTTCTTCAAGAAATATACACAAGTAAAATAATGAGGAGGGATGTTTGAATTGACAGTATTAGGGACATTCTGAAAAAGGATAAAACGAGACCAGCTCTAGGATATATTAATGCATATTATAATGCTACAGTTTTTTAAACAGTTTGGAACTAGTGCATTAACAGAAGGTATGAATTAAGCAGAACAGATTTCAAGAATAGATGCAGATATTTATGGGATTTTAGTATATTATAAAAGTGATACTTCAAATCAGTGGATTCAAGTATTGGAGCAATTAGCTAAATCACTGGAAAAACCGGTACAGAGTCCTCAATTTTTGACACCAAAATAAGTTCCAGATGGATTAAAATTTTTTGATTAATACCAGAAAAAACCAACATGGTATATAATCTGTTCTGATAGTCAGATGAGAAGAACTTTCTAAACTTTTGAAACCAAGAACAAAAACAAAAAAGACTTATCAAGTCAGCAAGGCAAAAAACACCCATTGTAAAAACAAAGATAACCCTCACCTGGAACTTTTTCATGACCCTATATTGCTCTCTAATACTTTCTATGCTTTCTTCTTCCCTTCATAGTCAAGTTTGTTGAAGAAGTACCTATACTGATTATTTCTCCACCACTCCTTCCCTCCTCAAAGCCCTACCTCCTGCTGTGGCCCCACCACTGCACTGCAAATCCTCTTGCTAACTTTGCTGGTGGGGGCATATTCCAAAGACAATGTACATTTTCAGTCCTCATTTATTTGATTACTAGGCAGCTTTCGATATGGCCAAACATTTCTGTCTCTGTGGAATATTTTTCCTCCTCGATTTTTGTTTTACTTAAATTTAGAAAGCCGAGATAGAGCCAGCTCTGATGGCCCACTGGTTCAAGTTTGGCACTCACTGCTTCGGCGGCCTGGGTTCGCTTCCTGGTCGTGGAACCACACCACCTGTCTGTCAGTTGTCATGCTATAGCAGCACCCCACATAGAAAAACCACAACGACTTACAACTAGGATATACAACCATGTACTGGGGCTTTGGGGAGGGAAAAAAAAAAGAGAAAGATTGGCAACAACAGATGTTAGCTCAGGGCAAATTGTTCCCTGCAAAAAAAAGAAAGCCAAGATAGGGGTGTGCATGCGTGCGTGTATGTATACATTTTTTTAAAAAGGTTATCTAGCTATAGTGCTTCTTCCACTTTTCCCCACAGTCAAGCAATTAAGTGTGGGCTTTAGCTCTTGCTTCCACCAGCCCCTATATTTTTCATCATGCTCCTTTTAGTCAATGTTCAAATCCCTGTTAAGCAATGTTATCGCCTTCTAAGCCTTCTCTGTGTTGACACAACTCTCTGCTAGATTTCTTTCAACTGTTCTGTTATTCTCCCTTCTCTTGGTGGATTTCTCTTGCCCCATTCACCCTTTAAATATCCCCTTTCCCCATGGCCTCATTATCAATTCTCTGCCTGGCATGCCGAATCACCCCCATGGCCTCACCCGCAGCTCCTCTGAGCTCCTAACTGGCGAATCCAGCTTTCTAATGGACATCGCCTCTCAGATGTCCCATAGACACCTCACACACAAAATATCCAACACTGAACAATTTCCTCGAAACCAGCTCCTCTCCTTTTATTCCTTCCTGCACATTCAGGCTCCTGGAGTTATCTCAACAATTCTATTCCTCAACTGCCATCCTACTCACCTCCTTAACACTTATCAAATCTGTCTCCTTATCTCTATTCCTATCCTCACGGCCTTGATTTAGGCACTTATCACTTGTTGTCTGAGTTACCTAGTGTCAGCCTCCCAAAATAGCCTCCTCCCACCAAATATGAACTCTACCCAAAATAGTATCTTCCCTCCTGCTGCCAGAGTAATCCGACCTTTAACATAAACATCACGCAATTCTCTTGCTTGCAAATATTCCAATGTATCCCTATATCTTTAAGGATAAGTTCAAGTCCCCTGGCTAAGCACAAAAGACTTGTCATGATATAGCCCTTGCTTACCTGATATTCCCACCTATGGATCCTTTGTTCTAGCCATACTTTACTTGCCATTCCTTGATCTGGCCAAGCTGTTTCATGCCCTTGTACTTTTAAATGTGTCCACCTCTCTGCATGAAATGTCCATTCTCCCTACCAAACTTTAGATAGTTAATTTCCATTCACCCTTCAAAATCTAGTTCAAATGCCACCTGCTCTAGGAAGTCTGATTTGTATTCACCTTCCTAACAATCGACCAAGCACTCTCCACCCGTCACTTGGCTCTGTGAGGGCAGGCACCAAGCCTTACTCATCTTGGTATTCCCAGCAACTGATACAGTGTTTGGCATAGCAGGTGCTCAATAAATGTTCATTGGCTGAATGAATGAATGAGTAAAGAGATAGGAGGCCTGCAAAGCTTCCCCAGTGACCTAGTTGCCATTTTGGAAAGCTCATCCTGCAAAGATGAGGAAACATCAATGCAGGTGGTGGGCAGAGACAGAGCAGAGATAAGGGAGGAGGGGGAAGGTAGGCCTGAGTCCTGGGAGAGCAGGGGTGGGTGCGAGGAGATGCTGAAGAACAGCTGGTATTAATTACAGTAAATTAATGGAGAAAATTATATACGAAGCCCATTGTTTTAATAGATTTTTAAAAATTAACTTAGAAGAAGGCAAGGTCAAGTGAACATTGCAAGGTGGAAGAGGGAGAGCCGGAGACAAACAGGGCCCACTTCATCACTTTCAAATCTATTCTGAAACTGCACTTGATTGTGGCACCTGCCCACTGGGAAGGCATCATCAAGCTCCCGAGAGACTGGTGTCAGCGCTATGCAGTGCTCTAAGGACAAAACGGTACTTGACGCCTTCCAGATTTTAAGACTGACTGTTTCTCTTATGTTCCATGTCTGAGTTCTCAGAAGTCAGGACCACACATGTGGGGAGGCAATTTTGGTTAACACCCCAGGGTTACTCTAATGATTTCAAAGGATGGTGGGAAATTCACTAAATAACATAAAGAAGAAATTTGACTCAAAAAAACCCCCAAGTACGTATGCTACACAGAACTTGGTGGTGGCTGGGGCAACGTTAATGTAAATTCAACGAACAGTTATATGTGTGTGTTGAAACTCCAAACTCAAGTCATTTAAATAAATATTTATGAGTACCAGGTCCAGGCAGTGGTGCTCCAGCTGAGGACTGAAAGATGCAAAGGCCTTGGTAGCTACCGCCAAAAGGACCAGTCTAGCCAGGGAGAGACGCATGCACCCAATCACATACCGTCAGACAGGAATCAAGTGCTGTTAATGCCTAGAGAAAAGAGCAGCAAATCTGCGTGAAAAGTTGAGGGTTACCGCTGAGGCTTGGCCAGAATTCCTCATGTAGAAAAGAAGAGAAAGGTATTTCAGGCAGAGGCAAGTTCTAGTTCCCTCTGCGGGCAGAGGGGAACAGAGACAGTAGCTGGCGGCAAGGCCTAAGCAAGGGCGGAGGGCTCCAGGGTGGTTTGCCAGAAGACATTTCCCTTCAGCAGCAGGGAGGCTGATTAAAAAGGTAGACGGTGGTATCATTAACGAACATGGGAAAAACAGGAAGGAGAAAACTGTGGTGAAAGGCACTCTATATTTATTATAGAGGAACAAAAATAATTCAGGAGGCACTTGAAAATTCTATCTCCCACAAACTAAAAGAACAAAAAATAGATTTCACTCTGGTGTTGAATACAGAATAACAGACTGCCTACTCTCAGAAATGGATTAATTTTTCTAATTCATTATTTGGATAATAGAAAAACAATTTAATAAATCTAAAAAATCTGTCTATAACAGTTCTTATTCCATCCTTTCTTATAGGGTAGGGTGAGGCCGAATTATTTAGTTAGTAATTATTTTCATGAGACTATGAAACTTTAAAAGTCATATTAACTTCTCCCCAAAGCATGACCATATAACTTTTCCTCTCAATGCCATTTATTTGATAATCAACTACAGAAAAATAACTTTTTTCCAAGGTTTTTTTCCTGCTAAAATAACAAATGATATTCTGTCCCAGAATGTTATTATTTTTAATTCTGATAATAGCTCCAATAAGAAATATTTACAATTATGACTCATTTTGGAATAACAGGTAATTATCTTACAGCCTTTTTGAAAATAAACAGAATAAATAAATAAATATAAAGCCTACATTATGTACTGCAGCTACACCCTTAATTGAACCTGGTCATGAAACATATGAAAGCAAAAATGAAACTTAAATCAGACTCCAGGCTGCAAAGTATTGTTGACTGAAGAAGCTACAAGATGAACCTCTCACTCACCGAAGGAAGCAGATGTGTTTCCATGTATAATGTATATTTTTAAAAGCAATTATTTTATATATAGAATGCGATTTAATAAAAACCACGCTCTACGTGAAGACTTGTAAACAGGAACCACAAAGAATGGTGTCTTTGCAAACACACAAACCTGTATGCATAAATGCAAGGCCTGTCAACCAAAATGTTGTGCTTCCTTTTCTATTCTCCTAAGCTTAAAAATACTGTAACTCAATGCAACGGTTAGCTGAAAGGGCACAGACACAAAACATGTAAATTGTTAGCCTTCTATGAGACATAATCGTGTCATGCATAATAGAAAAGATAGTGTTTCCTATGGAAATCTATTTTGAGATGCATCCATTTAAAGGCAACTGAGAGCTCAAAATCAAGTTCAACTGAAGAGAAACAGAGCCCTAGCAAATACTACAAAATGGACAAAGACATTCAACTAGGAGGAGAGCTGTGCTAAATCTTAATTCCAGAGCAGCAAAATGGTTCTGAATTCAAGCCAGTGATTAACCATGAGGTCACTCAAGGAACCAAGCAGAAACCACTGGTTAGAAGAAACAGATATTTATTTCACACCTCACACACTGTCAAAGGCAGGTGTGAAGCGTGAAGGGGGAGACCCTGTGATCACTCCTGCCACCAAGCAGCATGCTCCTACAGGCTTTCTGTACAGCCTTGCTTAAATGACTCAGTTCAGAAGAGTCTCGGCTAACAGCTGTGCCTGCATGGACTCCAGCCCAAGCTGAATCACATCTAATAATAGTTCTGAGTTCATTCTCAGACAACATGGCTAGAATGCTCTGAGAATTAATGGTGAACGTGTACTTCAATGAATATTCTATTTCATTGCTTGGTAATAAATCTTTAGCTCTGTACAACATAAATACTGACAAAGATACACACAGTCACCTTACTTGAAAGCCTGATTGGATAATTTTATCTAGTGGAGAAAAACATACTCCTCTTCATTTCAATACACTAGATAATTATTTGGCTTAATAATGGATGCTCTTGGGATCCCAAACACACTCCAGTATAATTTACATCACTTAAAACTTCAGTAAGGACTTACTCATTTCAAGATATTCATAAAATAATCCAAGTTTGCCCATGAGCTGCAGATGGTAGTCCTGTTCCCATCGGGGGGTTATCTTTTCTGCACCCGAAACTGTGCCACACCGTCCAATCAGATTCATGACCCAGCTGCCAAGAAAGATCCAATTACAAATTAGAATATGATCAGAACGAGGTCATAAAAATATTTTGCTCATTACTTGAAGCTGAACACACAATCTTCCCAAGAAATTAATTTCTCGTTTTCACGCTAAATTATTTCATTTCTGCCTCCCTACTCCAGAATATTTTGAAAAATAATGCTGACTATATACCTGGGTTTATCAAAAGTGTAACTGCTATTTTTTCTCCTACCTCCTTTTCATGTGAGCAGTTTAGTTTTTAAAAGATACTTTCCCTCATTTGATTAACTTTTCTTTTTTTTTCATGTCCCTCCTCTTATTCAAAATGGTCTTTCCAGTATGAACATCTGCAGAGAAATAAAAGAAAGACATGGCCTGTGAGCTGGTGATAAGTACTGTGGAGAAAAATAAAGTGGGGCAAGGAATGGAGAGTGTCTGCATTAGTGGTGGGGGAGTGGGGATGGTGGCAGGGAAGGCCTCACTAAGAGTGACATGTGAAGGAGGCTATGAAGGAGGCAAAGGGGCAGAGGGAACAGCAACTAGAGACCAGGAGGCAGGAGGAGGCCTCCCACGTTTGACAGACGCATGCAGGCTGGTGGAAACAAGTCTGGTGGTTTGGGGGGTTGGGGCCTAAGAGATCATTGTGAGGATTTGGGCATTTTTTATTCTGAAGGAAGTGGGGGGAGCCATTGAGGGTCACTGAGAAAAAAGTGCCATACTTCGACATTAGATAAAACAGGTACAAGACCTTATCTTAAGCTGAACAAATCAAGGAGCAGAGAAGCGAAACGCTGTCTCAAAGTCACAGTGCAGAGCTAGGAGAAAACACAGCCTCAACTGGCGGCCCAGCGCTCTGCCCACTACTGGATACTACTGCCCAGAGCTGTCTGTTGTCTGTATTACGTGATGTCTTTTTCTTTCTCAAAGCTCCCTTTTTTATGGCACTTTGTCCTGAAAAGGAATCAGAGTTGGTAGTGAAAAGAGGTATGCACCTGTAGCAGGGAGAACCGTTGTCCCTTAAAGCAACAGCTGGCTTGTGGTTTATTTGTGGAGCTCATCAGAAGAGGCACAGCAACAAACAACTTCAAATACAGATATAAACATCTGGCTAAGCTTTGGCTGATTAAACATGTTTGTATGGATTTCGAATTTGGACAATGAGAAGGCTTCACACTACTGTAAAGACAGTTGGGCAGGTTGCGCACAAGCATACACGCGGGGTAAGATATGAATTACAAAGAGCTCACCATGCTGGGTTTCCCACTGCTACTGACCTCAGTGTTGACTCATCACTGGCCTCTCCCCACTGTTTACCAAGGGGAGATTTCTCTACAACAGAACATGCCCCTGGCTTCGCAATCTTTCCCCACTTCTTTCTCTTCTACGATATTAGGGACACGGCAGGAAGCCATGGAAAGTGGAGGGGATACGGACTCAGGCACCCCTGAATCGGAACCCACACTCCATTGCTTACTTGCTATTTAACTTCAGTCAAATTCAAATGAAATGGGGTGATAAAGCCAACACTGCCCAGTGTTGCTGTCAGGATCCAATGATTTAAAACAGGTAAGGTATTTAGCACGCTTCCTAACACATCAAAACCCCCTGTGTGGGATTTTCTCTTGACCAATACAGGCTATACTAGCTGAAGCCAGCTGGAAATAAGACCTAAGTGACTTAGACTCTTGGCTCGGGGACACAACGCTGTCTGGATCAGTGGATCTTACCTCAGCACCTTTCAGAACGATGTGCAGTGCTTGTTGATAGTGTAGCTTCCTATGCCCCAACCCAAAGCTCTATAATCAGTCGAGTCTGAGGGATGGCCCGGAATCTGCAGTTTTACAGCCATTCCAGGGGCCTTGTGACACAGCTGGTAACGAGGGCCGCACATGTCCATCACCCTTGATGGCATTCACTTGAGATGACTGGTTTCTACTGCTTTACATTTTGCTCTGCCTCCCACTTCCAGCCTCAGCCTCTTGCTGAATCCTCTCTCTGCCCCAGAGGGGCACGCTTGCTCCAAAGAGCAAGTCTTTTACTATGGAGGCCCCAAATCCATCACAATTTGGATTCAGGATGAAACATCTGTCTTGGCCACCACTTGCATGACTAACTCATCTGGTGCTTCCCTCTTGTACTGTACTGGCTTCCCCCACCCAATCACATGAGGTCATATTAGAAGTCCTTCTTTTCTGAGCTACAGACTCTGAGCCTCTTGTTCAGTGTTCCTGAGTTGAACCACTCATCTGCAGTAGGAAATCTTGGGTTGCAGTCCATCCATCATTGTCCTTGGTCTTTTGGGTTTTCTATTCGGTTATGATTCCAGTATGGGGTTATCGATCTTGACTGTACATGAGAATCACCTATGGAACTTTTAAAAAATACAGATGCCAGATACTTCTTCCTCTGGCCAAGGCTGGACGCTTCCTCCCTCTACTAGGGGATACAAAATAATTTTTTTAGGAATTTACCATGCATACTAGCATTAACAGCAGCATGATAAGTTGCCCTTGACTAAGTACCTATCATATGTAAAGCATGGTGTGAAGCATTTTACACCTCATTTTGTCTTTGTATCTTCGTTATCGTGTTTAATCCACATACTACAGAATAATCACCATTTCTGTTTAGGACATACTACAGTATTCCAACTTGCTAATTTTGAATACAAGCATCCTTCACTAACTGAATCTATTTTATTCCTGAGTTTACTGTTCCCGAATTTAAAGAGTGAGTATGGCCAGTGAGGGGTGCCTGTATTAGGATTCTCTTATTGTATGTCTCTGGTTCATCCTCTAGCCAAATCATATCTGGAGAAGGGATATTTTCTCTTATAACAGTTCACTGTTTCTTATTACATAATAGTGCATATCCATTGTGGAAAATACAGAAAACATATCAAGGAAGAAAATTACAGCCATCCATTATATAAACACCAAAGAACGATGCTACTAGCATTTTGGATATTTAAATCTATTTTCCTTAACATTTTATCATAAAAATTTCTCCAGAGTAAGTTGCTTAACGCAGGAATTGTACCAGTCATTTGTCAATAAAATTCCCAGGAATGCCTCAAATATCAAAATACTGAGTGAGCCTGGGAAGACCAAAGAGCTCTGAGCTTTTTCTCTGGGTCCAACAAACAATTCTATTAATTTACTGATGTTATGTATTTGAAGATATGAGTCACTCGTCCCCTCAGGTGCTTCTGACTGAGGACCCACGAAATGCCAGGTACTGCTCTAGATGCTACAGAGAGCCCAAAGGGAACTGGATCACAGTGCCAGATAGGCTTCTTCAATTGTTCCAAGAATCCTAGTCAAGGACCCCAAGTTCGCTTGGGAGGTGGAGGAAGGTAAGTTTACGGTGAAACTCACTTCACTATGTTCCTTGAAATATTTAAATGGCGTGGAGACAGCCGCTGATTTATAAGGCTTTTCTCTCCCTTCCTATATATTTTTGGGATGGATGTAGGTAGCAAGAGTGACTGATACATCGTTGGTATGTTAAGCTTTTGTATGAAAAAAGCAGGAAGGAAACCAGCACTTATGCAAAGACAAGCAGCTGTGATGAGAAGAGCCTAAGTCACTCTCTAATTTGGCTAATATTTAGCATTTCCAGTTTTCAAACAAGGGAAAGATCATTTAAAACCACACCACCTAATTTTTAGGCCAGGGGTAAAAATAACCCAAGGCAAAGTTCAGGTTACTGTAATTTGCAACAATGGAGTAATGCAACAATTAAGTAATGCAACTCACTTACAGTGAAGGCACAAACAGACCATGGATACTATAGCACATCCTTTATTTTAAAATATGCCATGTGAACAAGTTTCATTTCATATGAATTTCTTGGTACCAGTTTAGGAAATATACCCTCCACCCCTAATATTTAAATCAGAAAATAGCTCACTGACAACCAATTAGTCATGAAAATTCAGTGTTAAATAATTAACCCACTTCCTTCAGAAAACGCTTCTTAATAATCTAAGTTAAGCCTTTCCTCTATTTATTTTCACATACAAACACAGTATTTGTGCATGACCTACCTTTACTCATCTGGAAAAATCTGCATATGAGCTCAATGAAGGTAAGGGCTGTTTACTGCACGGTAGGCTAAAAAAAAATATTAACTTCACAGCTAAGATCAGAATCTTTTGGGGAGGAGAGGGATGTCTTTGTTTAGAGACAGACTTTGATAATTCATATTGAAGTTGGAGGATGAATGCCTGGTGAAGAAATATGGAAGGACACACTGAAACCCAGAGGTTTCTGCTCTATAAAAACAGGGAAAAAATAATTTAACTGCTCTACAAGGAAAATGAACAGAAAAACTTAGTAATGGGGGAGACACAGAAGAAAGGGGAGGGAGGAGAAAGAAAGAGAGGGAAGTTGTATGTGGTAGAGAAACAAGTCAAATGGCAGGAGACTGGAGCCTACAACGAAGGGTGCTTAAAAAAAATGCCAGCTGTACGGTGGGATGAAAGTCTTTAAAAAGATGGAGGATTTTTATTTCAAAATTAAAGTTTTTTGAGTTTCTGCCTCTGTGCCCCAAACATCAGTAAAGCGTGCTTGTGTGAGTGGTTTTGGAGGACACCAAGGAGAGGGGCTACACTCTACATTCAGGTTGGCCTGCAGAAGAGAATACAGATGTGGGAGGCAAGATAGAGAGAGATCAAAAATTTTGTGAGAAAAGAAACACAGAGCCAGAAACTATCTTGAAAAGCTAAGTATGGTAGGCAGAAAAATGGTCCCCCCAAAGATGTCCACATCCTAACCCCAAGAACATATGAATGTTAGGTTACGTGGCAAAGGGGAATTATGGTTGCAGATGGAGTTAAGGTGGCTAATCAGCTGACTTGAAGATAGAAAGATTATTTAGGTGGGCCCAATGTAATCACAAGAGTCATTAAAAGTAGAAAAGGTTGGTAGAAAAGAAGGGAGAGAGAGAGAGAGATGTGACTATAGTAGGAGAGTTGAAGACATGCAACATTGCTGGCTTTGAGATGGAGAAAAGAGGTTACAAGCCAAAGAATGTGGATGGCCTCTAGAAGTTAGAAAAGGCAAAGAAACAGATTCCCCTAGAGCCTTCAGAAAGGAACACAGCCCTGCTAACACCTTGACATTAGCCCAGTGAGACCTGGGGCAGACTTCTGACCTCAGGAACCATAAGATGTTAAATCTGTGTTGTTTTGTGTGGGATATTTGTTACAGCAGCAATAGAAAACTAATACAGTAAGCTCCCAGAAATTGCAGATGGCCTAGGACTTTCCACTGATATGGGATCAGGCTTAAGCAAAAATTTAAAAGGACAGTATGACCTTAGCTAGCATCTGTTCTTCTCATTTTTTAGGGAAAGACCAGTCAAAAGCCTTGTGGTTATTATTTTAGACATTTATTTCTTTTATTTTAGACATTTATCACATGGAACCCTGTGCCTTAGGACCATAAGAGAATCTCTATTCTTGAAGGCATGTGGGTTTGGAGTCATGGGGTCTTAGATTTGAATCCTATAGTAGTATCTTATTGGCAATGTGAACTTGGGTAAGTCATTTAACCTCTTTAAGCCACATAGTCTTCATTTGCAAAAGGGACATCAAAATAAGGATAGTTTGGAAAATTACATGATATATATATATATATATATATATATATATATATATACATATATATACATAAAGCACTTAATACAGTGACTAGCACATACTAGGAATTCAACAAATTATTATTACTGGTTTTTAAATGCATGGTATAAAGGGAGGAGAAAGTTGTGAGAAGTTGTGGAAATCCTTAGTTCACAGCCCCAACAAGGGCCATCTCCTAAAGGGCTACATCAGTCAGCCACCAACAACTAATAGGGCTAACAGGCATAAACTATAGCAGATGGGGATTTATGGTAAATATAAAAAGGGAGGCTTTTGGGGCCAGCCCTGGTGGCCTAGATGTTAAGTTCAGTGCACTCCACTTCAGTGGCCCTGGTTCGGTTCCCAGGCACAGACCTACACCACTTGTCAGTGGCCATGCTGTGGCAGTGGCCCACACACAAAAAAGAGGAAGATCAGCAACAGATGTTGGCTCAGGGCGAATCTTCCTCAACAACAAAAAAAAAAAAAAAAAAAAAGGAGATTTTTAAACATAATTATTAAACAGTGGATATATTTACACCACTGGTTGGGACCATCCTGTCTGGAGACCTTTGATAAGCATCAAGTCTACTCCATTTTAGAAGTGGGCATTTAGCTATGTGGACATGTAGGCAAAAGACCTGGATGGGTGGGCTGTTCCATCTCTCATCACATCCCCAAGATTACACAATTTAATACTCACGGAAGTAACACCTCTTGTATGTTATTCCAGATTGCTTTTCCTCCCATGATTATTGTCAGCTGCGTTGTCAATTCAAGGAGACAGCCACCTGGCTCACACTGGAATGTTAAGAAAATCTCATTTAAATTTTAGATGGGTCTAACATGAAATAGAGTCATTAATTTTATTTTTTCTGATATTCTGTTTAGACTAAAAAAAAAATCTAAGGAATATACAACGAAAAAACTGTTCACTGGGCAACTGAGAGAAAACATGAAGCAGCTACAACTGTCAAGAGAATACAGTTCTATATTCACACCTCTTCATTTCTGTATTTTCCCAGCCAATAAACTGGATCTCCTGGATAACCTACAAATTTGCCCTTAAAGAATGCGATGTAGAAACACGAAGAGTAATAGTTGACAAACTGGAATAAGAACATCTTCATGGTTAGGCTATTCTCATAATCGGTTTGGGTCCTTGGGAGTTCTGTAGTTAAAACAAAGAGAAGGAGGATTTAAAAATTGTGAACAGCTTTGAGACCCTAATCAAAGACACTGATACATGAGTTCACATGGTAAAAAAAAATACAGTTCACACTGTTTCCATTAAAGCTGTTTTGAATTCCTTAATATAGCTACTGCGTTAATTCCAAGTTTACACACTGTTGTAAGAGTCCCCCCACCGCACCCCCCTCTGAATATAATATCCCCACAAGGCAAAAAATATTCAACTCTTCCTTAGAATTTACAAGCACAATGCTATCAAATGGGCAAGAACTGTCTTTTCTCAGGTCTAAGTTGACAGAAAATTATTTTTGAATAGCTTGCTAAATGATATTCTCCTGTCTTCCTGAATTGCAATAAGGTAGGTCTGCTGAAGAAAACAAACAAAACAAGGGGCAACTTGCTAGAAGCATTTGGGGAAGATAAAACAGGTCATCCTCCTAGCTTAGCATTTAAATCGGTCTGATCATTTTCACAAGATGACCACTAAGCAGACCATTTGGAGAATGACCCAGGCATATGCAGCGTGTGGGAAGCACTTAACTTTGGCCACTAAGCAGCTGCCTGGGATACAAGCCAGAGAAAAGAAACATTTATTACAAAAGCCAGAGCTGATGAGAATGGATCTATATTAAAATGAACAGCATGGGGGGAAGACATGCAACAGTGTATTACTTGTCCTCTCAGCAACAGAGGAGTATATTTGCCACCGGAACCATGACACTATTCCACTTATGTGCAATAAAGAGACCATTTACTTTCAACAATAGGGTACATGATCTAATGTAATTGAAAATATTATTCAGCACTGCTCTGTTTACACAGAGCTTGGACATTCTAATGATTGTCTTTGCTTTGTCCCTTTTAGTAAAGCAAAGCTGTAGATAATTCATTTCCTATACAAGCTAGAGAAAATACATTTACACTTGAAATTTTCCAAAAATTGTAACATCCTGAAATTAAAATGCCTAAAAGATACAGTCTCTATTTTCACCAGGTCCTAGAAATGTCTTAGGAATGATCTGAGCTATAGCAGGACCTTACCAAAGTTAGTAATCATGATTGCCACTTTTTCATATATCATGTTCAGAATCATGATGATGATAAAGCTGATGATGGAAGCAGTGATGGTCGTGGCTGTCTGTGGAGTCAGAAGCTTCTGGATTGGGTCTGTTCCATTAAAGGCATTGGGAAGTTTTCTAGAAAATGCAATCATCACTGACAGCCTGTAGACAATGATCCCAATAACCGAAGCGATGATCAGTAGGATCTGAAAACACAATAAAAACAGCAGCATGAGACTCACCCATAATCATTTTTTGTGTGTGTGAGGAAGATCAGCCCTGAGCTAACATCTGTTGCCAATCCTCCCCTTTTTTGCTGAGGAAGATTGGCCCTGGGCCAACATCCGTGCCCATCTTCCTCTACTTTATATGGGATGCCGCTGCTGCATGGCTTGATAAGCAGTGTGTAGGTCCACGCGCAGGATGTGAACCTATGAACCCCAGGCCACCAAAGCAGAGCGCACGAACTCAACTACTACATCACTGGGCTGGCCCCCATAATCGTATTTTTATACTTAAAAATTGGCCCCACAATTAGGGGTTCACAGGTTTGGATCCCAGGCGCACCTCCACACCACTCATCAAGCCATGCTGTGGCAGTGTCCCACATAGAAAACAGAGGAAGATTGGCACAGATGTTTGCTCAGTGACAATCTTACTTACCAAAAAAAAAAAAAAAAAAGAAAATTGGCCTCACACTTAAATGGACAAGGTGCATGTTTGAAGTGATGTAAATCTCACAAAACTGCCACAAGGGAGGTGGAAATCGGGCATGGTAAATTTCAAAGAAAGGAAAAGGACTGATGGAAGTTAAAAGAGAGTACACCCACTAAAGTAATATGTTAACAAGAGGAGAAACTGCGTGCAGGGCATGAGGGGTATGTGAGAACTCTGTACTTTTTGTGCAATTTTTCTGTAAACTTAAAACTGCTCTAAAAAAGAAGGTCTACTAAAAAGAAAGAGCGAGTGCATCTTCAGATGGAGTAAAAATGGAATTACTGGTAGCAGGTTCTGGTAGAAGGAAAAAGTCTGTGTATAGCAGAACCAGTAAAAACATCCCTTCTATAATTAGAGATTTAGGTTATGAATTAGTGTTTTTTACTCAATTATAATCTATTAAGAGGATATGTTTCCTTCCAACAGAGAACTCATCACGGGTTCAAGGGTCAGGAGGTGCAAGCTCTTGTCTTAGCCACCATAGCAGGTAAGATTCCGAACGGGACCAATGAAGCTGCAGAGGTGCCAAGGTCGCTGTTGGAAATGACAGCAGGTCTCTGCTGATAGAAGCTTCACACACTTTTCACACTTAGATGTTAAGATCTTAAACTGGCAGTTATTCATACCTGCATGTGCACAAGATTCATTTCACTAATCCACTGCATTTTTGACTGCAGAGACCCAATGTCAGAAGGGGTGTCTAGAAGCATAGTTTGCATGCAGTAGAATTTCACTTCCTCGCTCGGCAGGTTTCCTGTGGCCACTGAACAATGCACATTAAAAGTCCCATTTTTAAACTGTTTTCCCTATATCTACTTTCTTGGACTTATTCCAGAAGTATGTACTCCATGTAGCTGACTGCTTGTGATGACTACCACAAGAGAGAAAAGCTACAAAGAATGTGAATTTCAGGACCAAGCAAATGTCATGTTGTTTACAGTCGAAGAGAGAGGCTGGTTTCCACCTGTGGAGAGCAGTAAAGGGGGGTGATTAGAGGCGCAGTCCTGGAGCCCGACTCCTGCATTTGAATCCTGGCTCTGCCACGAGCTGTGGGACCTGGTGCAAATGACTTAACCTTTTGGGGCTTCCACTTCCTCATCCATATAATAGGAGGATAATAATAGCAACTACTTATAGGATTGTTGTGAGGATGCAACAAGTTACTACTGGTAAAAACACTTAGAACATTAAAATGCACATGAAAAATACCACATAAATGTTAGCTATGATTATGGCAACCAAAGAGTTAGCAAGATGCTTTTCCTACTTTTTGAGCCACGAGTGTGTAGAGAAGGCATTATATTTCCTCTTCTAATCTCTCTCATTATCTCCTTTCCTTCATAGTTAAGGCTTAATATTTGTGAAAGGAATAACGTGTGTGTGTGTGTGTGTGTGTGTGTGTGAGTGTATGTGAAAATTAGCCAAGGTTGAGAAAAATGTACTATTAGAGAAGCTGTATTGAGTCTTATTCCCTCAGCACAACACAGAAAAGGTCATTTAAATAGTACGTATTTTAAAAAATTATCTTCATAATAATGTTTTAAAGTATTAAGTAATTATTAATAGTTAAGATTCTTTAAATGCTTACTGTTCACCTCAGCACACATCTACTTTTCAAATCCTCACAACAACCCTGTGAGGTAGGTAGTATTATATCTCTCTTACAGATAAGTAAATGGAGCCACAGAGAGATTAAGCAATTTGCCCCAAATTAAGCAAATAGTAAGTGAAAGAACTGAGATACTCAAAAACTACAAAGACACGCTAACCTCAACATGGCACTGCCTCCCACATGGTTTATGTAATGAATTCTAATTCATTTCAGAGCTTTTACAAACTTGATATGTTTCCGTAGTTCTTCGGGGCACTTGATGGGTTCGATATTTCTTCATAGGAAGCCAGGAAGCTTTTCTTTCTCCTTCCTCAAGTTTCTTACATATCTTTTCTGATTATACTTTAATATACTTTTCCGATCATAACTTTAATGCGTGCTCATCGTAGAAAATTTGAAAGTACCCTGTAGTGGATACTGGTTGCTTCTGCTGCCCTGGATCTGTTCCCAGTCTTAGAAGAGGACCCAGATTTTGCTTTGGGGGAATAACCGCTCCTCCACTTGCAGTCCTGTGGTTTGGACTGGACTCTCCCCTGCTTCCTTGGACTTCAGAGGTAGATCCTAATTGGCTTGAGACAAATAGGTATCTCTTCCTATTGGCCTCAGCAATTGATTCAAAGACAACCTAATAAGAGCCATTGAGATGTGAGGAGATATCTGCTAGTGCCCACGGGAAAGAGACAGGGAAGCTTCCTCTGTCAATAGAGGAAGATGCTAAAAGAAATCTCTCTTGGCTTGGATATGACGTGAGATCTGGAATGCTGCAGCCATTTTGTGACCATAAGGGAGTGCCTAGAACCACCATACCAGGAGATCACAATATGCAGAATGAAGACAGAACAAAACATAGCCCATAACATCATCTGGGCTGCAGTATCTATCCTTGACTGAAGCCATACCTCAAACCTGGGATTTTCAGTTACAGGAGCCAATAAATCCCATTCACTCTCATTTTTGTTGTTGATGTTTAAACTAATCAGAGATTGATTTTCTGTCACCTACAACTGAAAGACTCCTAACTATCAAAATAAAGAACAAAATACAAAGAAAAATAGGAAAAAATGTATCTATTATCTACACATAGGCATAATTCCTTCAAAACTATGCATTGTTGGCATACTGAAAATCATTTTATACATTAATTTTATCCTTTCGCTAAGCCTCTCATAACCATAACATTTTTACATGTCATAAAATATTTTCATGGACATACTTTTTCATGGCTGCACAATATTCCACTGTACGAAGGGTTGGAAGTAGGATATCTTAGCTAAGATGTATATATATATGTGAAATAAATACGTCTGTGACAAACTCTTTACTTTTACTTACCATTTTGAGATGTTTCCTGATTAAAAGTTTTTAAAAGCTGAATTAGTGGATTAAAGCATATGAATATTTTTGACTCTTGATATGTACTGACAACCTGGCTTCTAAGAAGGCCAGAGCAGTGTCCAATTCCAACAGCCTAGGTATGAGAGAGGAGCTGATCACTGCATTTCATCCTCACACACACTAAGCCTTATCACTTAAGAGGTGAAAAATCATATTTCACTTTAATGTGCACCGATTCAATTACTATTGAGAGTTGACATTTGCCATGATATTTTTCCTTTTGTGAATGTGTATTCATGTTTCTCTGCCTCCTTAGCTCCTGGGATCTTTAGTGTTATCTTAGAAATGCTCCAGACTCTATGTATTGAAGATATTAACACTTTGCCCTATTTGTTGACAATATTTCTTCTGGTGTTTTGTTCAAACTTAGGATGACTTTGATGTCTGGAAATCTTTAAATATTTTCCTCTGAAACTTCTTCTATTGCTATTAGGTTTAGAAAGTCTTTTTACATCTAGAGATTGTATATTCATCAATATTTATTTCTAGTTTTTTATACTGTTACTTTGTTTCTGTAACTTACTACAGTATGTGGTTATTAGTATGGTTTCAATCCTTACTTTTTTCCCAAATAGCTAACAAGTGTTCCATTACCATTTACTGAATAATCTTTCCTTATCCCACTGATTTATAATGCCTCCCTTCTCATATATTAAATTACCACTGATATCAGGGTCTGTATCTGGGCTTCACGTCCTACTCGCTAATCTGGCTATTCTTGAGCCAATAAAATCTCATTATATTACTAATATGATTTTATTAATAATAAAAATTAATTTCATAAGTTCTGATATTTAAGAAATATTATCTTTTTATTGAGAATCATTTGTTTAAGACCTCTATGTCTTCCAGTAGTTTTTATGTTTTCTTTGATAGGTCCTATTATCTTTTTGTTAAGGCTACTCCTAGACATTTTATTTTAATTGTTACTGTTGGAAAATTTTAGAATTCTGACTGCCTCCCATTTGGTCTCTTCTCCAGAAACTGGAAAATCCCAAACCATTGATCTGATTTAAACAAATGACGGGAAAGAACTCTGAAGAACCACTGAGAAAAGATCAATATTTTGAAACCTTGAGAGTTGCTCCACATGGTGGCTAAGTAATTCTCTGGAAACAATTCTCCCTATTAGGCTACATAGTCTCCAGCTTGGTTTTTAGTTTCCTCAACATTTAAAATTAGATATTATGGACAGCTAATCTTCGACAAAGGAGCCAAGAACATACAATGGAGAAAGCAAAGTCTCTTCAACAAATGGTGTTGGGAAAACTGGACAGCCACATACAAAAAAATGAAAGTAGACCCTTACCTTACACCATACACAAAAATTAACTCAAAATGGATTAATGAGTTGAATGTAAGACCTGAAACTATGAAACTTCTAGAAGAAAACATAGGCAGTAAGCTCTTCGACATCGGTTTTAGCAACATATTTTCAAGCACTATGTCTGACCGGGCAAGAGAAACAACAGAAAAAATAAACAGGGGCCAGCCCCCTGGCTTGGCCGGTAAGTGCGCGCACTCCACTACTGGAGGCCGGGGTTCGGATCCCGGGCCCGCACCGAAGCACCGCTTGTCCGGCCATGCTGAGGCTGTGTCCCACGTACAGCAACTAGAAGGATGTGCAACTCTGACATACAACTATTTACTGGGGCTTTGGGCAGAAAAAGGGAAAAAAAAAGGAGGAGGGCTGGCAATAGATGTTAGCTCAGGGCCGGTCTTCCTCAGCAAAAAGAGGATTGGCATGGATGTTAGCTCAGGGCTGATCTTCCTCACAAAAAAAAAAAAAAAAGAAGAGAAAAAATAAACAAATGGGACTACATCAAACTAAAAAGCTTCTGCACAGCAAAGGAAACCATCAACAAAATGAAAAGGCAACCTAACAATTGGGAGAAGATATTTGCAAACCCTATATCTGATAAGGGGTTAATCTCCAAAATATATAAAGAACTCATGCATCTCAACAACAAAAAAACTAACAACCCAATTAAAAAATGGGGTAAAGATCTGAACAGACATTTCTCCAAAGAAGATATACAGATGGCCAACAGGCACATGAAAAGATGTTCAACATCATTAACTATCAGGGAAATGCAAATCAAAACTTCAATGAGATATCACCTCATGCCCATCAGAATGGCTATAATTAACAAGACAGGAAACAACAAGTGTTGGAGAGGATGTGGAGAGAAGGGAACTCTCATACACTGCTGGTGGGAGTGCAAACTGGTGCAGCCACTATGGAAAACAGTATGGCGATTCCTCAAAAAATTAAGGATAGAACTACCATACGATCCAGCTATTCCACTGCTGGGGTATTTATCCACAGAACTTGAAAACACCAATGCATAAAGATACATGCACCCCTGTGTTCATTGCAGCGTTATTCACAATAGCCAAGACTTGGAAGCAAACTAAGTGCCCATCAAGGGACGAATGGATAAAGAAGATGTGGTATATATACACAATGGAATACTACTCAGCCATAAGAAACGATGAAATCCAGCCATTTGTGACAACATGGATGGACATTGAGGGTATAATGCAAAGTGAAATAAGTCAGAGGGAGAAGGTCAAATACCATATGATCTCACTCATTAAGTAGTAGATAATAACAACAAACACACAGAGACAGAGATTGGATTGATGGTTACCAGAGGGGAAGAGGGCGAAAGGGATAATTAGGCACATGTATGTGGTGATGGGTTGTAATTAGTATTTGGGTGGTGAACATGAGAACATGATGTAATCCATGCAGAAATAGAAGTATAATGATGAACACCTGAAATTTATGCAATGTTGTAAACCAATGTTACCGCAATAAACAAAACAAAACAAAACAAAAATAAAATAAAATACAATTAGATATTAAGGGGCCGACCCGGTGGCGTATCGGTTAAGTACGTGCACTCTGCTGCAGTGGCCCCGGGTTCGCAGGTTTGGATCCTGGGTGTGCACTGACGCACCGCTCATCAAGCCATGCTGTGGCGGCATCCCATATAAAGTAGAGGAAGATAGGCACAGATGTTAGCCCAGGGCCAATCTCCCTCAGCAAAAAGAGCAAGATTGGCAACAGATGTTAGCTCAGGGCTAATCTTCCTCACATACATACATAAATACATACATAAAATTAGATATTAAAAAATTTGTGACAGACTCTTACCCAGAACAAGACAGCACTTGCACACAGGGTTATACGTATACATTTTCCGCAGGCAGTATAGGGAATACGCTCTTCTTCCTAATCAAAAAAAAAAAAAAAGAAGTTTACTCAATCAAGGGGTTCACGCCAATGAAATGATTTTTCTTCTAATCACTCACTAAATCCTTGGCTTAATTTTTTTTTAATTTAGTTTTCAAACATAGCCTCCTTAATTTAATTGCATGTTGTTTGTTAACAATTTCAAACATAGAAACAAAACATGTGCAGTGTTCATTTCCATATTTGTTGAAAATGTAAGCGTGAATAATAAACTGTTTATCTGCCGGGACCTGAGCTCAGGAGTTTGGACATCCGACGAGGCCAAGGTGTAAAGCTACACTCCTGAGCTTGTCTTCGATTTCAGAAGTGGCTGCAATGATAGCACAGAGCCCATGCAGGACAAAAAACTTCACAGATGTCTGCAAATATTACGTTATCTATTACGTGTTTCTTAGTTGAGCTTTATATATTAATTCGGCATAACTATGAATTTTTAAAGAATTTTTAAAGTTTCCATTTTATAGTTTATATGACTATATTTGAAATTTTAAGAGAAGAAATCAGTACTTCTCAAGATTTACCTGGATTGTAAGAGTAGCTATTGTAGAATAGCTGCCAATACTTACATGGCATTTACTATGTGCCAGGTACTATTCTAAGCAGGTTCTACACATTAAATCAATTAATCCTTCCTACAATCATATGAGGAAGCAACTCTTTGATCCCCATTTTATAGTTGAGGCAACTATGGCACAGAGAAGTTAAATAATTTGTCCAAGATCATTCAGCTAGTAAGCTGCTGTGTTTGGATTTGAATTCAACTCGTGCATTCCCAAGACTTCACCACCACACTACAGGCCTCTCTAAACCAACAGAGGATGTATTACCAACAAGAGTCAAATGAGGAAGAAAGGTCAAGAAACTTGAACCTTCATCTTCATTTTTTTAACAAGCAACGTTCCAACGGAAATTTAACTCATTAGTTGGCAATTTTAAATTTAAAACTGGCAGGTTTAAATTACCAAATTGTCTTTTCTTCAGTATTTTTCCTATGCTGCCAATATTGTAAGCTTTTGTTTTCCAGTACTCAAAAGATGTTATAAACATCTAATTTTTCTAAGTTTCAGCTTTCGTTTCTGAATGTACAACCTTTCAACAACACATGCTTTGACTCCATCTTCCGTAGTAAACAGTGGCAAGTACTCATAATGGAGATTATTTGAAGCTTGTTACATTGTAAAAGACAATTGTCACCTTCTGTTGATAACTGAACCTCATTTTTTTCCATTCATAAAATGAGGAGGTTGAACTGTTCCCTCCAGTCTATTTTAGAGCCGACATTCTGTAAATCTGTGATTCAATTTATAAAATCTATAGTTGGGGATGTTTTCAGATGCTCTTGGTAAAAGCATTTTGTTTCCAAGAGTTATTCGTATTCAAAACCTACTGTCCTTATGCTGATGACTGCCAGTACAATCACCTCTAAATTTTCTGTTGATGGAAAGAAGCAATAATGCAGATGATTCAAAAATCATCTTCCACTGGCTTTGGAATATTTATACAGAGATATATAGTTTTATTTTTTATTTTGCAGCAACAAGTTTACCTTTCCAATGATATAAAATGCCTAGCATGGTGCCTGAACCTAGTTAAACTTCAAAAAATGTTTCCCTTCTTCCTCCATCCTTTCTCCTACCTTAGGATAAGAGCCACACTATTCTGTGCACATCCCAACCAGAAGGTGGAGCAGTGACTGAGGCTTAGTACAACACAAAGGGGCAGCTAGTTTAGGATGAAAAAGGGGCTGTAGGGCTGGCCCCGTGGCTTGGCGGCTAAGTGCACGCGCTCTGCTACTGGCAGCCTGGGTTCGGATCCCGGGCATGCACCAACACACTGCTTGTCCAGCCATGCTGAGGCGGCATCCCACATATACCAACTAGAAGGATGTGCAACGATGACATACAACTATCTACTGGGGCTTTGGAGAGAAAAAGGGAAAAAAAGGAGGAGGATTGGCAATAGATGTTAGCTCAGGGCTAGTCTTCTTCAGCAAAAAGAGGAGGATTGGCATGGATGTTATTAGCTCAGGGCTGATCTTCCTCACAAAAAAAAAAAAAGACTAGTAAATAAGAAAGAAGAAAAAAAAAAGAGGGGCTATAATAATGAAGGTGCATGTGAAAAATTGAGAATCAACTATAAAAACCAATGCAGCTTTTCTTAAACATCTATGTCATAGAGTCTACTTTTTTTTTTTTTTTTTGCATTTTTTACTGGTATTCAGAAAGGACACAAACCAATGCATCTTGTCTTACCCATTTATGTCAGAGTCTAATTTTTGTTTTTTTACTTTTATTATAAAAGAAGGAACCTCATTTATCTCCCATGTCCACTGTTCTAAGCAGTGCTTCTTCACCTTGGCTGCACATTGGAATCACCAGAGGAGCTTTAAAAAATTCCTGTGCCCAGAACACACCCCAGGCCACTAAGTACCATCAGAGTATGTAGTGATGGAAGCCAGGCATCAATATTGTTTAAGGTCCCCAGGTGATTCCAATGTGCAGCCAAGGTTGAGAACCCTTGCACTAAATCGCATCTAAATCACATCCTCCTTACCTGAGTAATCTCATTGATCACCACATGAGTACACCGTGCCTCATATTCTGGACGGGGTTGTTCTTCCTGCTGTAACTCAACAGTGTCCCATTCATACTCAAGCTCCGCCTGGCGCCGCTTCCAAAACTCCAAAAACAAGGTAACTAACAGAGAAAGAATAGCATCATTTGGATCTTCAATGATGACTGATGGTTCAGAAATCTGTATTGAACAATATTAGTTATCCATAATACTTTTGGATATGGTCAGTAAAATCTAATTTATAGGTGCCACTAATATTTAAAGAGAGAAAAATGGGTTAATGTTGTTTTTCTTTAGAAAATGTTGATAATTTAGTCAACTTATGAACACAGACTATAGCTTATGGGAAAGGTAATAATGTGATGGTCAGAAGGCATGTGAGTGTGTCTAATGCTAAAGCATCTGCTACCAGCACTTGATTGCCAACTAAAAACGACAAATAACTATCATAATTCAAAAGCAGTTCACCGTCCCTCCTTCAGTCTGCTCTTGCCTACATCCCTCTCCCTCTCTTCCTTCCTAAGGGCCTGGTGTGGGGGACTCTTCAGTAGACACCAAATCTCTCTGTTTACCACCACTCAACCCACCCCAAATTAAAATAATAATATTCTTAAATATGGAAAACTGATATTTTTCACAATCTTGTCTAAAGTAAGAATAAAATAATTTTTAGAAATCTTCATCATTTCTCAAGATTTTTAACTTAAAATTCTAAGACAAAATTAAAAGTTAATTGAAAATGTAGTTTCAGGGTAAATCCCTAGGCCCTTCTTCCAAGCAGACTGCTACCACTAAGCCCTTCTTAGATATTCTGGAATTACCACTGTTTCATCCACAAATATTTTTTGAGTCTCTACTATGTGCTGAGAATAAAGAGAAAAAAGACACAGGCCCTACATGAAGGAGCTCCTAGGTGTGTGGGAATGATGGTGAAGTGATAGTTACACTAGACTATTATGATAAAGGTAAGCACAGGTTGCTTTGGGCACACAGAGATAGAATATGTAACCAAGGCTCTCCCAGAGGAGGGGACCACTGCAGTGAGGTCTGAAATGACTAAGAGCTGATCGGGTCAAGGTGGAATGTTAAGGCCATTTCCCCCTAGGGAGCTACACGTGCAAAGGCAAGAAGGCCACAGAGAGCCAGGTACTTTCCAGGAACTGCAAACAGTCTGGAAGTGAGCATACGGTGTGATGAGGAACATGGGGCGGCCAGGTGGGGAGATCCACAGGCGCACATCACAAAGCACTTTGTGTGCCTTGAAAGGAGTTCCAATTTTAACTTAAAAGTGGGGCAGACATTGAAGGTGGTCTAGAGAGAAACGAGAGGCAGAGAGACCTACCAGCAGGGATGTGAGGAGGCCTGCTTTGGCCAGGGGAGAGAAGATGGCATGTTTAGCAGGCAGATGAAATGGATGCAGGTGTGATAGAAGGAGGAGGAAGAGGTCATGGAGGCCGGCCAGGTCTCTGGCTTGGGTGATGTCCTAAACTCCAGTGCCATTCCCTGAACTAAGGGCAGTAACAGGAGCAACTCTGAGAGAGAGGACAACTGGTTCAGTTCTGATCAGGTGCCTGCAGGCCACAGGAGAGACGTCCAGTAGGCAGGTGAAAGGCCAGAACTCGGAAGAAAGATCTGGGCTGAGCCAGGAAGTTTTACTGTTTTAGGTGGTAACTGGGGCCATGAGTGGACGAGATCACTAAACGAGGTGTGGAGGGGTAGTTCTCACCCTGGCTGCACATGAGAGGCACCTGGGAGCTTTTAAATAACACGGAGTCCAGACACCACCCCTGAGATTCTCATTTTATTGGTCTGGAATGGGACCTGTGCATTGGTTTTCGTTTTTGTTTTTGTTTTTTACAGCTCTACTAAGCAGTCAGGATTGAGAATCACTGGAGTAGAGCCAAGAGAGGCTGTGAAGAGCTTGAACTCAACACTCCCAGTGGCGAAGACAATGGAAATGTTTAAAGCACCCACTTCCCAACAGTGTTTGTTTTGGACTTTACTAATTTCCAATAACCGTGAGTGAGAGGAGAAATAACCTGGACATTGGAAGTTCAAGTTTTGGTTGTGACAATTATTAGATATATGACTACTGAACTTTCTGAACCCCCATTTCCCTCTCTGTAAAATGGGGGAAATTGAACCTACCTCAAAGGCTGCTGTGAGCTTAATGACATAGTGTCTGTAAAGGCCCCCACAACCCTCTGAGGTAATTGCTATCACTATCCCAATTTAGACACCAAGAAACAAAGGCACAGAAAGGTTCAACTACACGCCTGAGATGACAGTGTTGGAGTTAGGAATTGAACCCAGGCATTGGTGGCTCCAGAGCCCAGGCTCTTCTTTCTACATGGTACTGCCCCAAGCTGCCTGCTCCATGACCCACCTTTCCTCAGCTCTGTACCACAGCACCCAGTCTTTGCTTAGATGTTATCACTGCTTTCTTTCCCAGCGTGTGATTCTGGCACTCCTCCGGGACATAATGCTAGTAACTGCCCTCTGCCCCACACACTGTCTCTGTGGGTACACCAACCCTCACGATGCCATCACTGTGGCTACCCGGAGGTTTACAAGGGAAGACAGGGCTGTAGATGCTGCTGTTAACAGAGGCATAGAACTCAGTTAGCGGGGGAGACCACTTCTTATCTCCTACTGGGCTGGGGAGCTGGAAGGAAGCTAGTCCCCCTTTGTAACTCTGAAGCCCAGTGCAGGAGTTATGTGAGGCCTCCTAGCCGCTTTACATAGGAATCATCCCCCTTGCCAAGTTGTACTTTACATTGTAATCCACTGGCTTTACGATGGATTTAGCTGGCTCGCCTGTCAGACCCCAGATAGGGGGACTGATTTGGCTGCTCCCCTCAGGAAAGCCCTCTTTCTCTTCTGCTCGTGCATCTTTCCTGTGTACTTGGACTTAGTATTCTTTTTTTTTTTTTTATAATGTTATGTTATTTATTTTTCTCCCCTAAAGCCCTAGTAGATAGTTGTGTCATAGCTGCACATCCTTCTAGTTGCTGTATATGGGACGCAGCCTCAGCATGGCCGGAGAAGCGGTGCGTCGGTGCACGCCCGGGATCCGAACCCAAGCCGCCAGCAGCAGAGCACACGCACTTAACCGCTAAGCCACGGGCCCGGCCCAGACTTAGTACCTTCTTCCCAGACTGAAAGAGCTTGTTCCTCACTTACAGCTAAGAGAGTATCTGTGCTCCCTGACCAGAACCTTCAAAAATAGACCTCTCTGTGAGAATGGAAGTGTGGCACCCACATCTCATTAACTCAGCTATCCCACCACCTTGTCTAGCCAAGACCACAGCCAAGGCAAGGGGCCCACACTGTTGAGTATTCAGCATGGAGAAGGGTGCCTCCATACTGAGAAACTGCCCAGCCATTGGTGCCCTTGTCCCCACCCAGGGGGAACTGAGCTATCAATGGGACGAAAGCCTTGAGGCCATTAGGTAACTCTGTGCCCAAGCTGTGACTGACTGGTCCTGCTCCCCACCTGACCCATGCTGGCCTCCTGTGGCAGATACTCCCCAGAGAGACCCCTGCTGGGAGGAGCAAGTCACCCATGAGCCAACCCTTCTTGGGCTGCATATGAAGCAGCACGACATAGGCTCAGCATCTCCTTAATACACCACGCATCCCCACCAAACAGAAGAGCCCTCCTTTTTAATTTACCTGAGAATTCTATCACCAGCATTGCACATACCCTCCACCCCTGAAGTTCTTTCAATCTGTCTCCCCCTCTGTAACTATGAAATCAGTCCAGTGGTAGTGTACATTCTCCCAAAAAGGGCACTTATTCCGTCTGCTGACCTCAATTTCTGCACTTCAAAATAGATAGCACTCATGCATCCTGACCTATATTTGCTTCTGTGTTTATTTTTTATCAGGCTCACTAGAATGCCACCTTCACGAGGGTGGGGATGTTGTTTCGTTCACAGCTAAAACGTTAGCACACAGCAGGCACTGAATAAACATTAGCTGAATGAATGAACTGGAGGACCCCCACCACCCGGGCCCCCTGAAGCATGGTCGCATCCACTCACAGGGCCCAGCTGACTCCAGCTGCTCCTCTCTGTGCATGACCGCCCATTTTCCACCACTCTGCTACTCCAGTCCACTTGGGCCCGGATAACATGAGATGAAGATAATCCATGGAGGATGTGACAGTTTACTGGTGAGGTTGTGATAGTGCTAGCTCCTTGACTGCTGGGAGGAGTTCAGGGTAGACAGACTGAAAGAATCATCATGTGTGGTCTCTTCACCTCACAATTCATTCGAAGCACCAGGACCACACACCAGGGGAAAGTCTGGCCCTTCCCAACCTCAGGAAAGGGATTATGGATGGGATGGGGTGTCTGGCCCAGTATGGCCTCTTTATGAGCCCAGCAGCCTGGACAAATCTCCCTGAAGCCACTCTAGATATCTTCTTGTGTTCCCATAATCCCTCTAAATTTTGCAATTTTAATCTAAATATTAGAAATACAGATGTTTTTGAAATTCTTTTACTGATTTTCAATGGAGAAAATCCTCAGTTACCTTCTCTACAAAGTAAAGTTACTTTTCATTCTATAAGAAAAGCAGCTTACATTCATGAATTTACATCTTCAAACATTGTGATGAAGGACATCAAAGTCCTGTGCATTTTGGCACCTACAGGCAGGTAGAAATGAAGGAACCAGGACTTCTCTCCCAAGCCTGTTAAAATGAGGCTGGAAGCCTGGTGCTCACTTATTCCTGTTACAGAAAGAAGGGTTTATACCTGTGTCAGGTGAGGCAAAACCAACATTTTCTAACCCATTCCTATCTTTCAGAGCCCCAGACAAAAGAGTGCAATTATATCAATCAAAATAAATATTTCTGCATCTTTCTAAAAGCTTGCTACAACTTTATTAACATACACTGCATTTTGTCAATGATCTAAAGGCTTGATGACAACCAAATTATTTGCAGAGCTCTTATTCATGCTTGTCACTTTCTGTCTTTGGGGCCTTGGGTAATTTGCTTAATCTCTCTGTGTCATTTTCCTCATCTTTAAAATGGAAGGATAATAGATATTTATTTACTCAGTATCTATCTAGTAATAGTATCAACAGGAGACGATTTATGAAAATAAATTTACTTTTCTCACAAAAAGCAACATAAGCAATTATAACCAGTGTTATAAGGGAAGAACAAGTGGATACCCTTCCCCTTCCTCCTTTTTATCCTTTTACATAAGGGGTAAAATCCTGAACTTTACTGTCTACCAAATCCTGAACTTCAAGAGCAGTTCTGCCGAGGAAGTCATAGGACTGCCATGCAAGCAAGAAATGACCTGATGAAAAATAATGAGTTGTAAGCAAACCTTCAACCTTGAAGGTGAAAACCCTGGGAGTTGCAGGAATGAGGGGGAGTTTCTTAGTTCCTCATTTCACACAGCCAAGGACTTTGCAGGGTCCATGGAAGACATTGGTAGCTTAGTATAACCACCCACTGTTTTGGAACACTCCTGGGCTAGGTCACTGCTGACTCACATTGATGTGTGTCCCAGATTGAGCACCAGGACCTGGGGTGACTGTGTATGAATGTTGGACAGGAATTTCCTGTTCTGTATTTTATGCTCTCTCTCCGTAAAGAAACCACTGGTAGAGCTCCAGTGGGGTGCACTGTACTTACATTCTCTGGCAAACCACACACCACGAAGCTCTTGTTGATTAGAGGGACACAGTTAGGACTCTTACATAACATATAATGAGAGAAGAGGGAAGGCTGCCTAGGACCTGGGAATCAAGAGCAGCTTGTCCTTTTAATCATGATATTATTACGTTTAGAGAAAGTATGCATCAGATGAAGAAGAGGCCTATATACAGTCATGCGCCACATAATGACGTTTCAATGACAGACTGTGTACACAACTGTGGTCACGTAAGATTAGTACCATATAGCCTAGGTGTGTAGAAGGCTATACCATCTAGGTTTGTGTAAGTACACTCTATGATGTTTGCCCAACAGTGAAATTGCCTAACGATGCATTTCTCAGAACGTATCCCCATCATTCAGCGATGCATGACTGTACACAAAAGGTGATCAGATAAGTAAAGTGCTGGTGGTTATATCCAGCAACATCTAAGGACAAGAGGTACATTGTGGGAGTGTTCTGGTTGCTATAAGAGTTCCCTGCTGAAGGGCTGGGACCTTTTATTGGGCCTTGAAATTATAGAGACCTCGTCACTCACAGAGGTAGATAAGGTAGATGAGTTTGCTCAGCCTTTATTCCAACTTTCTCAATGAAAGACTAAAAGGTCAAAAACTACATTTTTCAGACTCTCTTGCAGCTAGGCTTCCAGATATGATTTAAAAAAATGCCCACCAAATGCATTTGTGTGTCACTTAAATCAGAAACCAAGTTGAATGGAGGCAGAGGTGGCTATAGGAGCTGCATTATTTGCTGGTGTGGACCCAGGAGGCACAGCAGAGATCTGGAATGAACAATTGCAACAGCCATTTCCTAATCTCCAAGTGCAGCTAGTCAGGCTTCCTGATTCACCCTCTCCTACTCTTATGAGCCAGGTGTCTGGTGTTTTTCTGGAAACCACTAGGCCCAGCCTAGAACTCAAAGGCCAAAATTAAAAATTGTAATCATGCAGCCGAGAGCCTGGAGCCAAGGAGAATCAGATAGAAGTAGCTAAGAAGTAACAAGGACTGAGGAGAGGAGGATATGTTCAGAACCTTTACTTCAACCAGGGGTTGCTATTTAGGACTCTGTGAGTCGGTATGAATGGGTGGGCTGGCTTGGCCTAAAAGGGTGGATGGACGTTTTTCAAGTAAGTACATGATTTGCACTACATTTATTATAAAAGGTTTTCTACCCTTAACTTTTATAATTCCTAGGGAGCAGAAAAATACTCTAAGTGCCACATACATCTGAACACACAAGAGAAGCTACAGGAATATGATGATGGTGATATGAAAAACTTCAATGATCCTCCTGTCTCTTCAATTTTGCAATTTCAGACTTTCTATAAAGAGGTTCACAGCAGTAGTTCTCATTAGGCAGAGGTAACAAGAAAAGCAATATAAGACACTTAAAGACTTCATCATACATATCCTTAAAGATACACATATGGTGCGACAAGCAGTGCTGAAGTGTGTTCTGCATTCTAAAATCTGATGAAATAAAATCAGCAGCTCAAAAGGCTTAAGTCAGTTCTATAAACAGGGTGTAGTTAATGATCACAGAAAGCAAAGAGAGCTAGGAATTTGAGGTTTGTTTTTCCAGTGTCAAAATTAGTATGTATTTTTGCTTCATTTAGAATGTCTTTTTTAATTAGGGCTATCAGCATCCATTAGTATATGCAGTTTAATAGATGCGTTAGAATTTTATAGATTATTAATCAGCGCTGAGGCTAAGGTTAAGAGACAGTAGTTAAAGGTGCTCACCACCCACGTGTTCAGCACCTATGCTCTTGCTGGAAAAAAAAATGTATTTTACAATGGAGGAGTACAGAAGAACTTAATACATGAATTTGATCCTTATTCTTCTATGTGTCAAATATTGGTCAGTGTTTGATCTTCAGCCCAAACATGCTAAATGTCTGAATGACAATGTAATTTTTAGATAAGTATGGCCATCTTACAGTTCACTTTATCCAGGTCTGGCAACTAACACGTCTAATAATTGGACTGTCTGTTCTGTGATGCATTTGGTGACCTTTCATAGGCACCACCTCTGCAAAGAGAAATACTACCAAGGACACCTGTAAACAACTGTTTCTGTGAGTCCCGTGTATTGATGTATTGTCGTCTCAAAATAAGAGACCTGGTTGTTTCTTCCCCCACCTATCTAAAACCTGAACTCTATCTCCCCTTGATTTACGCAATGAAATTGGAAATGTGTTTATCTTTGAAAATGGTAATTTGTTTCTTCTGTGGTAGAATATTTACATCAATTAAACATTTAAAAGTCTGCATTTAAAGAAAATAATTGTCTCATTACATTAATGATGCTGTTCAAAGTAAATAGTATAAATACAGTATTAAACCTTCTATATGCAAATTATATTCTTCAGGATTATATCTGTTCTACTTATTAAATAGAATTATTATAAGAGTAGCACATACTTATTAAATATGCACTGATATCGAGGTGTATAGAAAAGAAAACTTACCTGTAATCCCTGTGTTGCTGCTTCCTCTGAACCCTAACCTCATACAAGTCAGGTGAATCACAGTTGTGGGGATTGCTACAATAAGGGCTCCCAGTGACTCACGCCTCCCTGCATCCAAGCCCTGGGGTAGTCCTCCCACCTCTTCACACCGTTGTGGGCTTAGCCATAACTTGCTTTGGCTGATGAGATATCTGCAAACTTGATGCAACCATCAACACTGATGTCCTCTCTTGCTTCTCTTTGGAATCCTAAAAGCACCATCTGAAGAATCCTGGGCCAGCCCACTGGAGGATGAGACCATGCGGAGCAAGACAAGCTGGCCCAGCTGGGCCCCACAGACCAAACCAGCCTGGCGACTGCCAGAGCATCGACGCCAATGGAGCTGCTAGCTAACTACAGGGACCAGCGGAGCCAGCCCGTGCCCGAAGAACCTCCCAGTTGACGCAGAGAATCATAAGAAGCAATAAACGTGCGTTTTAAGCCACTACATTTTGAGGTGGTTTTTGACATAGTAACTGATACAATGGCCTTAAGAGTTATAAATGGAGTTCCAGGGGAGCTGACACTTGGGCAACCCAAGTTCAAAAGTGACAGCCTATATAAAACTGTAAACTGTCATTAAATTGGGTGCTTGAATGATCTTAGGGTTTTTTTTTTTTATGTTAAGAGGCAAAAGTAAACTGAAAAAAATGAAAATAACTTACCCCATACCCCCATAAATACTGCAAAGACTAGAGTTCCAAAACTGTCAAAGATGCACAATATCTGGAAAATATAATAATGACATACACATGAATCCTGTTCTCCACTTATGCAATGCTTTGTGTATTCTACAGTCTGAATTTCTTTTTAAAGCTGATACCTAGTTTCACAATCACCATATCTACTACATACTTACAGATGGGATTTCTCATGCTTTTGAAAGCAAACAGCCTTTGCTGTATTTAACAGAATGCATTTTCCAATGGAATCTTTCGAGACCGTGATAAAGAAATAGGCATAGCTTCTAAGATTCCATTTTGTTTAAAGCCTCTGTCATGCTTTTGAATAATAGCCTCTTTTTATGAACTGTCATAATGAATTGAGGAAGTAGTATGGCCCTATGAATACAATGAACTCCAAACAACTTTTAGATTTATGATTTGCATCTTATCATCATCCCACCCAGGTCAGAGAGTAAGTTCTTGAATTCTAACTGTTCTTGTTAAGAGAAGTACAAAGCTGGGGTTCATTCTGACATGGCTCTCCCCCAGGAGAGCTTTGTTCCCTCAAACTCAATGATGGCTTTTCTACCTTCACTGACAGAGGCCTCCATCAGAATAAGGATGCACAGGTGCTTCTGCAGACATTACAATGGGTACAACGACCGCGAATGAATAAATGACATACCTGTGCAAAGAAGCCTCTATTCACTAGTTCTGCTAAGTTTCATCTTTTTGCTAGTATATACATAGTCTATCTCCCTCTATGAATTCCTGGAAAATCTTTCAATTAGTTACTACTTTTTCATTAGTGAGCATTTTAACATCTCCTAAAAAAAATCCATAAAGTTAATGGAAAAAGTGGAAGATATATATAATATCAACTTTATGATAGATCATATGAAAAGTAAAGAAGACAGAGTAGAAAAAGAAGCTATCGGTAAAAAAAAAAAAAAAAAAAAAAGCAAAGTTTTCAAATGTTAAAGAAAATTCCAAGCTGCTTCTAAGGAAAACTCTACTTTGTTTTAGGTAACTTTTTGGGTTGCCCTTTATACTGATGTAAAGCAGGTAAACTTTCATCTACATAAAAATATTAGTTACATATTTGCATAAAAGAATATCCTCCTAACCATCTTCTCATATATCTGTTTTCCAAAGCATATAGAAGCCCCTCAATCATCCATATAGACCCTGATTAGAAAGCACAATCCCAAACTGTCATCCAAGTATTCCTCTCAATAATCCAGCTCAAGACAGAATCAATGAGCAACAGCTCTGGGCAACAACGCTCTCCACCTAACTCCTCTAGTCCTGGGATTCCATGGACCATATATTTCAAATCTCTTAGCTTTGACTCTCACAGAACCATCTTCTCAAACTTCTCTTTTAATGTTATGCCTTACCCCTTACTGACCATTATCATCAGAAAAGTCCTACGAAAAATAGTTTTGCATGTTATAATGGGATTATTGAAGATTCTGCCCAATGTTACTCCTCTCTCAGGACTCAGTGCAAGCCTTCCTCTATCTGATACCTCCCTACTTGCCCTGATACCTCTGCCCACCCACTCCAGAAAGAAAAAATCCTATTTGTGAATTCTTCACCCCACTATGCTGAGAAAAAGCCACTAGAAGCACATCTGTCAGTGCTCGAGGCAAAAACAGGAGTAGCAAGAAAAAGCAGGTTTACTAGTAATGCCAAGATCTCCGCAGCTGCCTAGCTCAAGAAGAGGGATGTGCCTTGCACTCCTACGAAGGGAGATGGGGGCTTGGAGGAAGTTACCATTTTTGTTACATGTGGAAGAATCAAGGCTCCAAGAGAAAGAATAAGAGGGCTGGCCTCTCTGTTCTACATGCCCCAAGAGCGACATGTAAGCAGGAAGTAGGGAGAAGGTAAGCAAGGGGCTTTCTTGATCCGAAGCTTAGCTTAGCTTGCTTGCTTGGCAGGACAGCACAGAGAGGGAAAGACAACTGTGTTAAGAGCAGCCCCAAGTCAACATACTGCTTTAGTCACATGGAGCAGAAAAGAAAAGAGAGCTGCATATGCAGACAGGACGATTTTAAGCAGAGGAACCAGTTAGTATCTAGAAAAGTGACCATTTGTTATGCTAGGCTTTCTCCCAGCAAAGGAAAAAAATCAAAATTTTTAACTGTATTTTTAAGAACAAAATATTATAACTTACCATGTTTCCCTTTTATCTTGCCAGCCAAAAAGCTAAGAACCCTATTTAATGCTCAATCACAAAAACAATATTAATCCTGATTATTCCCATAACTGTTTCTTCATTTCCTTGATCCTGATTTTATATTTCTATTTCTAATTTGTTATCTTTTAGCATACACGTCAGTTAGTGAATATTCCATCTCTTTCCAAAAGAAAGAGGTAGAAATGAATACATAAATAAATGTATGAATGAAGAAATGACCGAATTAACCAACAAACAGAAAAGCATGAAAAGGTGCTCTCTTTTTCTCCTTTTTTTAACTTAATTTTTTCATTTCATTCTTTTACTCATATTCTTGTATATGCTTCCTTCCTTTGTAAATCACTCTGACAAGACTCAGGGGATCCTTCAGGAAACTGGAATACAACGAAAGATTCACTTTTTCCAAAACAATGAAAAAAAATGTCCACAGGGACATATTTGAGAGTCACGTGCTGAAGGCTGGGTGGGTGGAGCAGAAGAAATGAAAGAAGAGATGAGGGCAGAGGGTGTAAAAGAGAGAATTTCTTAAGGAAAATAGAATTCCCAATTGTACTTTGTGGGGCACAATTTGCTTCCGGTATTATTGCCGGCATTTGCTTTAAATCCAGTGCCTGAGGATACGCACTGACTAGTGATCTTTATGAGGCAACATCACTGGAAGGCAGCTACCCTCTTATTAGCTTCAAGTCTGTTACTCTGTGTAATCTACGACAGATATTTATAGTCTAGAATTTGTGTTGGTTTTGGGGGGTGGGGCAATGAAATCTATTTTAATTCATAAATTAAGTGTAAAAATCCATGTGTTGACAATACCCTGTAATCATCTTAAGTGGTGGAATAATTTTTCAAACATACAGCTCAACTTGTGAGTCATGTGCCTGATATTACTGTCAGCTGCTGAGAACACAGTAGCGGCAAGAAATGCAGATTTGCTGTCAATTTCTGGCTTTGTCAGCTACTAGGTGGGTGACCTTGAGGAAATCATTTAATCTCTCAGATCCTCAGTGTTTTAATCTGTAAAATGGAGATTATACCTGTTCTGCCTATCTCACAGGGTTGTTTTGTGTGTCAAAAGTGATAAGTACAAGAACTTTGCAAATTATAAAATATAAAGTGATCTCACTATAATAGCAATGTATTCACTTAGAATAAGACTTACGTGGAGTAGATCAGAATATTCTGAGGTCGTATAAAGATTCCTAAACTTTCATGGCAAAACAAGGGGACAGAGAAAAGATCAAGACAAGGGAGAATAATATGTCAAAGTTGTCAGGAAAATTCTGTGAAGCAAGCTGACTATCTTTCTTCCTGTCTAGAGTTTCTGACATGCCTTTCAGTAAGCTCCCTCCAGTCTCAATGCTTGTCCTAAATCTCCTGGATTTTAAGAAGTCATATAGCTCAAGACCATCTGCATATATAAGGGGAACCAGATGTGATTTGTGGGAATGTTTTGAGACAAAGTATCTGTTATCATTGATATACAAAACCTTTCTTATGCATATTTATAGATACAGTCTAAATCTGACCAGCAAAGTCCTTAAAAATCCAAGCATAGTTTCAGCACACTTTAAAAGTGGGAAAACACAAGTACAAATTTCAGGTTTCCACTCACTTGAATTAAGGAAAATACTTGTAATAGTAAACCTATTAAATAGTATTCAGGAGATAAGCCGGGTTTGAGATTTCTGCTTTGATTACTTGAAATACTCAAATAGTTTCAATTCCACAGCTCCTCACTGACCCTTCAGGAAATTTTAGATAAGGCTTTAATCTCAATTTATTATTTGTAAAAGAGAATTAAACACACGCATTCCATATCTACCTTTTAGAATGAAGGTTTAGTGGAAAATTACCTTTCTGAATTCCTCAGAGAAAAAAATATAATTTCTACGTTGTACTAAAATTTTTAGAAGAAAAAAAATCTTTCATTACTTGTCAACATTTGGAACAACAAAAATTACCTTTGAGGATGCACAAGTAGTATTCAGTCTCCAGAACGGACAAAGCCGATCACATTGAGGACACATTATGATCTCAGCGCCAATACCGTAACAAATTTCATTGCTAAAGAAAAGAGAAAAATAAAATTTAATTTAAAAAATTTTAATGAACAGGACTTCCTTTCTAGCAGCATGATAAAATCCAACATCCACTCATGATAAGAAAACAAAACTAAACTCGACTAAATTCTTATAAAACTAGGAATGGAAACGAACTTCACTAACCTGATAAAGCCTTGCTACATAAAACCCATAAAAAACATTATACTTAAAGGTAAAATGCTGAAAGTATTTCCTTTAGATCAGAAACAAAATGATGGATCCCGCTATCACCTATGCTTTTCACTGGAGGTCCTTACAGCATGGGCGAGTCAAGAAAAACAAAGATAGGAGGATTGGCGAGAAAGAAAGAAAATGCTATTACTAACAGATAAGATTGTCTATATAGATGACTTAATAGAACCTACAGATAAATCATGAGAATAAGTGACTTTAGTAAGTTTGCTGGACACAAAATCAGTATACAAAATATACATAGAGTCACAATAAGGAATCGTGCTCCTATAGATCTGCAACAATTAAGAATTAGTTTAAAAAATACCATTTTTCAATAGCTTAAAAAATATAAAGAACCCAAGAATAAATCTGAATCAAGATGTATAAGAGATTTATACGGAGAAAATTATAAAACTGTTCTGAAAGAGAGAAGAAGCCCTATATAAATGGATACATCATCATGTTCATAATTCGGAAGAATCTATTTAAAGATGTCATTTCTCCCCCATTTAAGCTGCGAATTCAATAAGAACAAAGGGCTCAGAACAGACAAGACACTCCTAAAGAACAGGGTGCTATTGGCATAGGTTAAGAAAAACTGACCAAGAGAACAAAATAAAGAGTTTAGAAAGAGACCTATGCATGTACAAAAAGTGACTTATGACAGGGCTGGCCCAGCAAATCAGTAAGGTGAGAAGTGACATTTCAATAAACAGGGCTGCTGCAATAGAATATCCATACGGAAAAATATGAAATCAAACCCCTAAAGCCTATCATATACAAATCAATTCCAGGTGGAAAATGAGAATGCAACAGTACCAACTTATTACAAAAAAATAGGAAAATATCCAGATAACCTTGCAGTAAGGAGAAATTCCATAAATGAAAAACCAAAAGGCATAAATCATAAAGGAAAATATCAATACATTCAAATCTTTTAAAAGTGAGAACTTCATTAAAATATACACCATAAAGGGAGGAAAAAAAGAATTAGCTACAAACTGGTAGAAGTTTTGCAACACATAAAAATGACAAAGGACTATTCACCAGAGTATTTAAGGAACTCCTACAAATTAGCAAGAAAATGACAACAAACTAAGAATAGGCTGCACACTGCTCCCTCTAGAAGAAGCCATTCAGAGGGACTCTTATGTGAATAGGACTGGAGTTGTGTAATTAGCTGGGCTTGCAAATAAGTCAGTTAAAAACAAATGGGCATGGGAAGCACTTTTAGAATATCTGAGCAAAGATCTTGGAAAATCTGCTCTTCTATGAAAGCAGTAAGAACACCGGCAACATTTGTCAAAATTAACCTCCACAGAACTCTGGAAATTAAACAAAGACTTACAGCAATCTGACGAGTGTCTATTTGAGGCAAAATGGCTAATAATAGTGAGCTTTGTGGCATTTCAACTTGACCTAGCCCCATCCTCACATCTTCAGCCTCATGGTAGCCTTAACAACCAACAGCCTCACAACCGTGGTAGCCTAGCAGTCACTTCTGATTGATCTGATGTTTTTCCCTCTTATTATATGATCTATTTGAATCTGCTGCTATCTCAGTCGATTTGGTGTTTCCCTTTCCAATCAATCTGATGTTTTTCCCTCTCATTATTTGACCTATTCGGATCTGTTTGCAGACTTCTTGCCTTTACTCTCCTCTATATAATAAAATATACCTTCAGTCCATTTGTTTGGAGTGGCAAGTTTCTTTTACGTCTCCAGTCGAATCCCCCGAACCTCTCAAAACACACTGCAACCACCTGAGGCAGTGATACCAGTAGGGGCTAACAAGACACTGACCAAAAAACTCAAAAGGAAAAATTGGGGAATGAGATGTCCATAGGGGGCTTTAAAAAGCTCCAATATATTCCTAGGATTGTAGAAGGCCAAGTGCATGCATGGGACAGTACACACGGCCAGGAAAGACCTGAGAAAACTTTAATTCCTCACCTCTGGCTGACCTCGAGGTTCTGCATAAGCAAAAAGTAAAGAATAGGGAAGAGCTGCAAATGGCCTGCTGGAGTGTTGAAGGCATTTCCCAACACACAAACACAGAGCCACTTGGCAAAAGCACAAAGAATGACTGGCTCCAGGCATATAAAGAAATCACTGTCCAATCAGCTGACAATTAAGCTTATTGAACACAGACTTCAATGGCCACACGCAATAAAGAAAACAGACTTTAGAGAATTAGCTCAGGAAAGTAACTTAAATGAACAGCAGCAGCAGCAGCAATGACAACAACAAATAGAAACAACAACAAACCCTGAAGAGGAGGAAAATCTGATTTCCAGGTCTGACACATTATAATATTTTAAATGCCCAGTTTTCAACAGAAAATTACAAGGTACTCAAAGAAACAGAAAAGTGTGGCCATGACACAAGGAACAGAGGCATTCAGTAGAAACCGTCCCTGAGGACACTCAGATGTTGGACTTCCTAGACAACAAAGACTTAAATAAGCAATTATACATATGTTTAAAGAACTAAAAGGAACCATGTCTAAAGAATTAAAGTATGTGAACAACATCTTACCATATACAGAATATCAATAAGGAGATAGAAAAAAATTAGAAAGAACCAAGTGGAAATTCTAGAGATGAAAAGTATAATAACTAAAATGAAAAATTCACCAGAGGGGCTCCTCTGCAGATATGAACTGGCAGAAGAAAAAATCAGCTAACTTAAAACTAGGTCAATTGAGATTATCCAGTTTGAAAAACAGAAAGAAAAAGTAATGAAAAGTGAACACAGCCTCAAAGACTGGTGAGACATCATTAACAATACCAATATACATATAATAGGAGTCCAGAAGGACAGGAGAGAAAGAAAGGGGCAGAAAGAATATTTGAAGAAACAATGGCTGAAAACTTCCCAAATTTGATGAAAACATTAATTTGTATATCCAAGAAAACTCCAAGCAGGATAAACTCAAAGATATCTAAACACAGGCACATCATACTCAAAGCATCAAAAGACAAGGACATAGAGAGAATCTTGACAGCAGAAAAGGAAAAGTGACTCAAAACATACAAAGGCTCTTCAGTAAGATTAACAGCCGACTTCTCATCAAAAACTATGGAGGCCAGAAGGCAGTGGGACAATACAGTCCAAGTGCTGAAAGGAAAAGACTGTCAACCAAGTATTCTATATCCAGCAAAACTACTCATAAAAAATGAAGGAGAAATTAAGACATTCCTAGATAAATATAATCTGAAAGAATCAGTTGCTACCAGACCTATCCTACAAGAAATACTAAGAAGATTCCTTCAGGCTTAAATTAAAGGACATTAGACAGTAACTCAAACCCACCCGAAGACATAAAGAGCACTGGCAGAGGTAACTATACGGGTAAATATAAAAGACAGTGTAAATATATTTTTGCATGTAATTATTTTCTTTTCCTATCTGATGTAAAACAACTGCATAAAATAATAATTATAAAAATGTGTTTGTGGGCTTTACTGCATAAAGATGAAATTTGCATGACAATAACAGCACAAAGGGCAGGGGGGAGAGGGAACAGACTTACACCAAAGCAAAGTTTTTGTATACTATTGAAATTAAGTTGGCATTAATCTGAACTAGATTGTTTTAAAATAAGATGTTATATATAATCTTCAGGGCAACCACTTAAGAAAAATAACTCAAAAAACTAGAGTAAAAGAAGCAACCAATTAAAAGATATACTAGAAAATATGTATTTTACACCAAAAAATGTAGTAATAGAGGAACAGGAAAAAAAGACATAGAGAAAAATGGCAGATGTAACTCCAAACTTATCAGAGATTACATTAAATGTAAATGAACTAAACAGTCCAATCAAAAGGCAAAAGGCAGAAATAAATAAAATAGAAAACAGAAAAATAACAAAAAAATCAACAAAGCAAAAAGTTCTTTAAAAAAATCCACAAAATTGATAAATCTTTAGCTAGACTAATCAAGAAAAAAAGAGAAGATTCAATTTACTAAAATCAGAAATAAAAGGAGGGATATTACTACTGACCTTACAAAAATAAAAAGGATTATAAGGGGACACTATGAATAATTATATGCCAACAAATTAGATAATCTAGATGAAATGGATAAATTCCTAGAAAGATATAAAGGACTGAAGCTGACTTAAGAAGAAATAGAAAACCCGAACAGACCTATAATAAGTAAAGAGACTGAATTCGTAATCAAAAACTTCCCATAAAGAAATTCCTAGGACCAGATGGCTTCCCTGGTGAATTCTATCAACGATTTAAAGAAGACGACCAATGCTTCACAAACTCTTCTAAAAATAAAGAGGAGGGAACAACTCTCAATTCATTCTATGAGACCGGTATTACACTGATACCAAAGATATCACAAGAAAACTACAGACCAATGTCTCTTATGAATATAAATGCAAAAATTCTCAACAAAATACTAGCAAATCAAATTCAGTAACATATAAAGAGGATCATTATCAAGCGGGAGGTATCTAGAAATCCAAGGACAGTCCAACATACAAAAATCAAATCATGTAATACGCCATATTAACAGAAAAATGGGCAAAAACTAGGAATAGAAGAGAAATTTTTCAATCTGATAAAGAGCATCTATGAAAAACCCATAGCAAACATCATACTTAATGGTGAAAGACTGAATGCTTTCCTCCCAAGATCAACATTGGACTGGAGGTTCTGGTGAGCGCAACAAGACAAGGAAAATAAATAAAAGGCCTCCAGATTGGAAGGAAATAAGTAAATCTATTTCTATTGCAGAGGATATGATATTGTATATTAAAATCCTAAAGAATCCAGCAAAAAAATTTAGAGTTAATAAACCAGTTCAGCAAGATTATAAGACACAAAATCAAAATACAAAAAGCAATTATATATTCATACTCTAGCAATGAATAATCCAAAAACGAAATTAAGGAAACAATTTCATTTACCATAGCATCAAAAAGAATAAAATACTTAGAATAAATTTGAGAAAAGAAGTGTGAAACCTGTACACTGAAAACTACAAAGTACTGTTCATAGAAATTAAAGACGACCTAAATAATAGAAAGACATTCCATGTTCATGGATTGGAAGACTTAATATTGTTAAGATGCAAGAGTCCTCAAACTAACATGCAGATTCAATGCAATTCCCATCAAAATCCCAGCTGGCTTTTTTGCAGAAATGCACAAGCTGATTCTAAAATTAATACGGAAATGCAAGGGATCCAGAATAGCCAACAGAATTTTGAAAAAGAACAAAGTTTCAAAGTTTCCAATTTCAAAACTTACTACAAAGCTACAGTAATCAATATAGTGTGGTACTTGCATAAAGGACAGACATATAGATCAATGGAAAAGAAGTCAGAGACCATAAACAAACACTTATACTTATGGCCAATTGATTTTGAAAAGGGTATCAAGAGAATCCAATAGGAAAAGAATAGTCTTTTCAAAAATGGTGCTGGGACACCTGGACGTATACCTGGAAAAGAATAAAGGTGAACCCTTACTTCATACCATTTACAAAAACTAACTTAAAATGAATCATAGACATAAAACTATGAAACTTTTAGAAGATAAACATTGAGAAAATGACGTTGGATTACAAATGGTTTCTAAGATATGACACCAAAAGCACAAACAACAAAAGAAAAAAATTAGGTAAAGTGGACTTCATTAAAATTAAAAACTTTTGTGCTTCAAAGGAAACCATCAAGAAAATGAAAAGATATCCACAGAATGGAAGAAAATATTTGCAATATATCTGATAAGGGACTTTTATCCAGAGTATATACAGAAGACTTAGAACTCAACAATAAAAAGACAACACAATTAAAATAGGCAAAGGATTTGAATAGACATTTCTCCAAAGAAGATATACAAACAGCAAATAAGCACACAAAAAGATGTTCAACATCAGTAGGCATTAGGAAAATACAAATCAAAACTACAAGGACATATCACTTCATACCCACTAGGACGGCTAATATATATATATTTTACAAACGCCTATAAAAACAAGTGTTGATGAGGATGTAGAGAAACTGGAATTGTCATACATTGCTAATGGGAATGTAAAAATGGTGTAGCCACTTTGAAAAATACCTCAGCAGTTTCTCAAAATGTTAAATATAGAGTTACTGTATATCCCAGTGACTCCATTCTTTGGTATATTCTCAAGAAAATTGAAAACATGAGTCCACACAAAAATTTGTACATGAATATTCATAGCAGAATTATTCATAATAGCCAAAATGTGGAAACAACCCAAATGTCAACCGATGAATGGATAAACAATTTGGTATATTCACAGAACGGAATATTATTTGGCCACAAAAAGGAATGAAATACTGATACATGCTACAACATGGATGAACCTTGAAAACATTACACTAAGTGAAAGATGACAGTCACAAAGACCACACACTGTATGGTTCCACTTACATGAAATGTCCAGAATAGGCAAATCCATAGAGACAGAAAGTAGGTCAGTGGTTGCCAGGTGCTAAAGAAAGGTGGGTTAGGGAGTGACTTCTAAAGGGTACTGGTTTCTTTTTGGGGTGATGAAAATGTTCTGAAATTAGACAGTTTGGAAATGTACTTAAAACCACTGAATTGTACACTTTCAAAGGATGCATTTTATGGTACGTGAACTACATCTCAATAAAGTTGTTATTTTTAAAGCTGGGCATAAGCTTTAAAAAACAGGCATTTGATAGAAGAGGAAATACCTATAGCATCCTCCATTTACACATAGATATTTTCAAAAGCACAAAAAATGAAATATATTTTATAGGGATACAATATTATATTGATAAAGAATATACAGTATATGTAAAGGAATAATAAAAATCAAAATTTAGTATCGTTGTTATTTCCAAAGCAGAAAGTGAGGGATACAATCGAGCAAAGTGCTTCACAGGTAACAGTATGTTCTTTTTCTTAAACTGGGTGATGGATCATTATTCCTTATACCTTAAATACATTTTCTATTCTCGTGAATCTTCTCAGTAGGTAATAAAATTAACTGAAAATATTTAAAATGCATATATTTTAAATGCTTTTAAAATATATAATAATTAAATAATTAAAGCCTACATAATTTTGAGCACAGGGAGTATATCCCCAAGACCCTCCCCCAGTTTTCTGTAGATTAATCTGTGTGGAATAGTGTAGGAAATACGTGGTGTGACTGTCATGGTGATTTTACAAAATGAATTATAATGAGAACCACCATGCAAGCAACCTTATAAAAATGCTACTCGTGCACTTTGAAAGTGTATTTTTGAAATGCCTTTTTTTGGTTGGAACGATATACAAAACAATAGAGAAGCCAAAGACAAATTTAGACAAAAGGTATCAACATTCGGCCTTTGGCCCTAAACTCTTTTTCAGTGAAGAGTAGAGTACTTCAAAGACCATCTGCAGCTTTCTAGCTAGGAAGTCATAATGGGTACAAAACACTCAGAATCCTCTGTTAAATAGAATGGCTAATTATGCCTATACGTCAAAGCTGCCATGTAAGCTTCCTGCCTCCAGAGCCAGGCTGATATGCCTGGGGCTAGAAAAATTTGGTTACCAGCTCGTCACTGGTGCCCAGAAATTTTGATCTGGCTGCTACACCTGGACAGAGACCAAATTTACAAGAGAAAATGCCTGGTTCAGTGCTGCATCCCTTTTGGAAGTGGAGACCACCAAAAGCAGAAGATAATGACGCAATTCCAAACAGGGATGGTGAAATTCAGTGCTCTGGCACCCATGTGTTTCCTTTTCGACAGTGCAGCTAGTACTTGAATTCCAACATCGAGCACAAACTAATTCTTATCACTTATTTTTCCCCTATCTTTGTAAGGGCTAATTTTTTAAAAGTATAACAAAACAAAAGTACTGTTTACTTAAGTTTTTAAACATATATTTCTTAATATATTTTACAAAGTCATTTCTAAAAGCATAAAAACACCAATTTTACCAGTTTTGCCATTGAAACCCTGAAGAAATCAGAGCTGCTGTTGGCCCACCATCTGTAGGGCTGAGTGCAACATTCCTCTGGGGGCCAGAAGTTCAAGGACGATCCTCCCTTCAGACCTCCCTTCTTTTGCAAACAAAGTACTGTCTTAAAATACTGGAGTGTTTCCTACGGGTAATATTCTTGTCAGAGGCTGGGTTGCATTATCTAAGAAAAAATTTTTTCCACTTCGCTTAGTTATTATACTCAGAACAAAAGGGGTATACTATCCAAAGCAGTAAGTGTTCCGTGATGAGTCTTCTTTTACTAAAACAGTCTAAGACCTTGAAAATAATTTTATGTCTAATCAACTTTTCAGCGTGGTAACAGGAATAAAGAGAGCTTACCTCCATGTACAGTTATTTTGATGAATAAGTCCATAGAGAAAGCAAGCCACTCCAACTACTGCTGCCAGCAGAAGCATCTGAGTGTAATAACCCAGCCAAGCAAAATAGATTCCAATCTTCTCTCCATAATATTTCCTGAAGAAAGACAGAAGTTATTTTTAGAAAATAGACACAAATAATCACTCTGCAGCTTCATCCTAATATTAATTTCTGACTTTAAATAAAGGAGGCTTTAAGCTTAAACTTCTGACTTCACACTTAAAACATATTCATTTTCATAGCAGACCCCAAAGTCCACTATGAAACAAAAAGTATTTTACATATCACAGAAGTTCTGATCACTGGTTAGCCTGCTGAAGCAAAGTAAATTAGAATAGAGCAAAGGAGGGGAAAATGCTGAATGTGGAACAAACAGAGGATCACCATCATTTTTTGTAAAGATCAGCACATTTGACACATTCTCCAAAAGATCATTCTTAACATGTATGAACAAATGAATATGAACAATCTGCTCACAGTTACCTGTTTTTGTTTGTCTAGGGTACTTCCTTGGAGCAAATATAAGGTAAATCACAAATAATAACAAGAAAATGACTGATGATGATGATGATGATAATAATAATTAGTAGTGGAATGTCTCTCTCTGACCAAAATATTTATAAAGCTCACTGTGAGAATGGGAGAGGGCAGGATGGATATAATTGAGGAATCCACTGCCCTGTATGCCTTGTATCTGGTACTTCTATTTTTTCCAAGTTTTAAAAAGTGATCAGTGGTGTGCTCTGGGGTAAAATGAAAGAGGCCAGGTAGGCAAGATTAGAAGAAGGAAGGCATGAAGCACTGCCAGGTTGTTCCTGAAAGGGACAAAAATACAGCTAGGCAGAAAGAAAAGGCTTAGGGAGGAGGAGAAAGCAAGGTGATGATTGTTCAGGTGACTATGCTGTTGTTGATACTTTCCTAGATGGATTCACTTCTGGCTCAGCATTGGTTGGTAGAACCCGTAGATTTCCTTAGATCCTGTATGATCCTAACCCACTTAGGCCTATATCAGACTTCCGGCTCAGTATGGAGCTGGGCAAGCTCCTTTGGCTTATCCTAGTGGGGACTTAGCTCTGAGAACAACCTGGAGACCCGAGGGACTTCAGACAGGAACATCCCTGGGCTGGACCAGTGCTCACAGGGCTGCTGAGACCAGCTCCATAGTCACAGGCCTCGGTGTAGGCCACATCCATGGGGAAAAGGAAGGGATGAGACCAACATGCAACAGGAGGCGGGAAAAACAAAGTGTGTCCATTTTCCCATGATTGGGGGGTTGTTATCTGGCTATGGACAGCAGGCAAATGGAAGGCTCAGGATAGTGCCTGGGAGAGAAAAGCCTGGCCAATGGCTTTACAATGTCTTCGACTCTTTGCCGTTCGACTTTCTGTTGTATGTTCTTATCAAACCATCCACCCTGGAAATGCCACATTTAAAATTGGAAAGAGTGTTAGAAGTTGCCTACCCCAATAGTAAAGTCCCACCCCCCGATAGTAAAAACATCCTGCTCCATTAAGAGAGCTGATCAGGCAGCCTTTGCTTGGATATTTACTGTGACAGGCAGTTCATTATTTCCAAAGGTACCCCGTTACATTGTAGGCAAGGTGGTCAGAAAGAATTTTTGAATCTTAAACAGAAGGCTACCTCCTGGTTCTTGCTGAAAGGCTAGGAATAATGAGGATCTCTTCAAATGTGATCTTCTCTGATCACTCTCTCTCTCTGCCAAAAACATCCCAATTCTTACCACCAATTTTTAAAAATTCAGCTTTGATTTTTTATCAAAGTTATAACTATACATTCGTTAAAGAGTCAAATAGTTCTAGAAGACTGATTAAAAAAAGGACCGGTCCCGCACAACCTCCCCCATTTCTTGTTGCCCAGAAGCAACCCATGTCAGAGACTTTCAAATCCTATAGCTTATTCTTGGAATGTTTACCTTCATATCTCTAAATAATATACTTGTAGTGTAGCTTATTGATTTTTCAGTTTTATGTCTCGCCTACTGACTTTCCACTTTGGAAGATGAGGATTATACTGCCTTTCAACTTCCTGTCTCATTTACACATCCACACCTCCATTCCTCCATCCTCTCAACCTAGTTACATTATAATTTTCATTAGATCAATATCCTTGGCTTTACATTATTATGATTCTGTAAAGACTATTCACAGCTGAATCAAATCGTCTGATCTGCTTACTTTTTCTTTCCTGCCCAGTATTTGGTTTCTCCTGGAGTTGGTAACTGTCTTGGTGATTCATTGCTTAGTTTTCCATGTGCTTATCAACAGTTCAAATCCAGACCCTCCCCCAATGTGTAACTTTTTGGGTACCTTCTAACACATGAGGTAGTCTATCAATTTTATCTCCTTGAATAAATCCCTTCAGGTCTCCTCCAACCTGGATTAATGACTTGCTGGCCCTGCCACAGAGCTGTCATCTGGCATCTCTTGGTCCCTCTCTCACGTTGGTAATCTGTTTACTGATTCCATGGCTTTCTCTTTCTTGGGGGTGTACCTCCTCCATTACACCTTGCGTATTTAAAACTGTGAAAATTCCTCACACTTAATTAGCAGTTTGGCCATATATGGAATCGTAAATTGAAAAAATCACCTCCCTCAGAAATTTGAAGTTATTGCTCTCTTTTCTTCTACCTTGCAGTATTGTCAAAAAGTTCAATGGTGCTCTGCATCTTGCTCCTTCATATGAAGCCTGTTTTCTTTCTGGAGGCTCATATGATCTTCTCTCTGTCTCTAGTGTTCTGAGATGTCATGTTGTCGTGGCCTGATGGCTCTCTTTTCATTCTTTGGGAGCACTCAATAAGGCTCCTTCCCTCTGGAGACTCATGGCGTTCAGTTGTTCAGTACAGTGCTTCAGATACTTCTCTGGAAGTATTTCTCTGGTTTCCTCCTTACATTTTCCCTGTTCTTGTTTCTAGCACTCCTATTATTTGTTCATTTCACCTCCTGGACTGATCTTCTAATCTTTATCTTTTCCGCCTTTTATTTCCTATCTTCTTTAAATTTTTCTCTATGTTGTGCACAATTTATTCAACTTCATTTTCCAACATTGTTGTTGGGGTTTTTCTGTTCCATCACATTTTTAATTTCTAAGAGCCACATTTTATTCTCAATGATCCTTTTTTATAGAATCATGTCCTTGTCTTGTGGCTACCATATCTTCTCATCATTCTGAGGGAGTTTTTTGGGAAACTTTTCGTTTCTTTTTTTTTTTCTGTGCCAAGTCTGTTTCCTCCAGATTGCTCTTTCTGCTTTGTTTGGTTTACTTTTGGGGAAAGAGTTCATTTTCCCTCTGGTAATCTCTGGAAACCACAGATGAAGGTTTCACACCCTGAATGCTCAAGGGGTTACTAGTGTGAAGCAACGAAGGGAACATGTGGACCAAGGACAGGGAATAATTAAACGTGTTTTCCTTAGCAAAAAGTACTCAAAATATTGGGGAATTGTTTTCTTTACCAAAAAAAAAAAAAAAACCACCAACCCATATAGAATGATTAAGAACCCATCAAATGCATCACACTGTCATCAGATGCTATAGCTTTAACATAAAAGGAAATAAAAGGAAAACCTCACATGAATGTCAACTTCCAACATTTACATATATACAAACATCCTCTTTTAAAATTTTATTCTACAGGATAACCAGAGTTAATGATAGAAAGTGCCTCTTCATGATTGTAATCTAGCCAGTAAATGAAGGAGGAAATCAGAATATGACCAAATGTAATAATGAAATAAAATCTCTTATGAAATAATAAATCTAGGCAACAATCATTAATGCCTGCTATCATCACAAAAGAGAGAGACAACTGGACATTATGTACCTTCTGACTGAAGTACAAAACTCCACAAATCAACTATTCTTGCACAAAGTCAAACCTCAATCAGATCAGGCTTTTAGGTGAGGATCAAATTACTTAGCTAATTTTTTTTATGGCTGAGTAGTATTACATTGTATATATATGCCACATTTTCTTTATCCATTCATTTGCTGATGGGCACTTAGGTTGCTTCCCAGTCTTGGCTATTGTGAATAATGCTGCAAAGAACACAGGGGTGTATATATCTTTTCGAATTAGTGTTATTTGGATAAATACCCAGAAGTGGAATAGCTGGATCATATGGTAGCTCTATTTTTAATTTTTTGAGGAATCTCCATATTGTTTTCCATAGTGGCTGCACCAATTTACAGTCCCACCGGCAGTGTACAAGGGTTTCCTTTTCTCTAACACTTGTTATTTCTTGTCTTTTTAATAAGAGACATTCTGATGGGCATGAGGTGCATGATATCTCATTGTGGTTTGGATTTGCATTTCCCTAATAATTAGTGATATTGAATATGTGTCTGTTGGCCATCTGTATGTTTTCTTTGGAAAAACATATGTTCACATCCTCTGCCCATTTTTCAATCAGGTTGTTTTTTGTTGTTGTTGAGTTGTCTGAGTTCTTTATATATTTTAGATATTAACCTCTTATCAAATATATGATTTGCAAATAGCTTTTCCCAATCAGTAGGTTGTCTTTTCATTTTGCTAATGATTTCCTTTGCTGTGCAGAATCTTTTTAGTTTGATGTAGTCCGAATTTATTTTTTCTTTTGTTTCCCTTCCCTGAGGATTTACGATAACATGGATGGACTTTGAGGGTATTATGCTAAGCAAAATAAGTCAGACAGAGAAAGACAAATACGGTATGATTTAACTCACATGTGGAAGATAAAACAACAACAACAAACACATAGATACAAAGAGCAGATTGGTGGTTACCAGAGAGGAATGGCGTTAAGGGTTGGGTGAAAGGGGTAAAGGGCCACATTTGGATGGTGATGAATGGAAACTAGATTTTTGGTGGTGAACACGATGTAGTCTATACAGAAGTCAAAACACAATGATGTACACCTGAATTTATATAATGTTGTAAAGCAATGTTACCTCAATAAAAAAAAATTACTTAGCTAAAGCAAATACCCACGACAGAGGAATAAGTCTAACACCACAATAGAGGAGAACGAAATAAGCAAAATAGAGAATGGAAAAAGCTCTCACAATTGCAAGGAAAACAAGAAAGAAACGGGAAATTACAGATTAGAAGACATTCGAGAGATATGTTAGTTGCAACATCTGGACCTTGCTTGGATTTGAACCAAAAACCTATCAAAAAATATTTTTTTGTGACAATCAAGGAAATGTGAACACTGATTATGATGCGACTTTTTTTAAAAAAGAGTATTCTGGGGGCCAGCCCCATGGCATAGTGGTTAAGTGCACGCGCTCTGCTGCTGGCGGCCCGGTTCAGATCCCGGGCGTGCACCGACGCACCACTTGTCAAGCCACGCTGTGGCGGCGTCCCACATAAAAGTGGAGGAAGATGGACAGAGATGTTAGCCCACGGCCAGTCTTCCTCAGCTAAAGAGGAGGATTGGCATGGATGTTATCTCAGGGCTGCCCTTCCTCACATAAAAAAGAGTATTCTGGTTGTACGTAAAAGATATCTTGTGGGGCCTGCCTGGTGGCGCAAGTGGTTAAGTGCGTGCATGCCACTTCAGCAGCCTGGGGTTCGTGGGTTCGGATCCCGGGCATGCACCAACGCACTGCATGTCACGCCATGCTGTGGCGGTGTCCCATATAAAGTAGAGGAAGATGGGCACAGATGTTAGCTCAGGGCCAGTCTTCCTTGGCAAAAAAAAGAGGAGGATTGGCACCAGATGTTAGCTGATCTTCCTCACTAAAAAAAAAATATCTTGTCATTTTACTAATGAAATGATATGATATTTGAGATTTTCTTCAAAATGATCCAGTGGAGGAGAAGGGAAGGAGGCAGAGATAAAGATGAAACAAGACTGGCTATGAGTTTATAATTTTTGGAGCTGGGTGACAGATATATGCAAGTTTGTTGTACTATTCTCTCTACTTTTGTATAAGTTTGAAATTTCCCATAATAAAATGTAAATCAAAGCAAAACAGAAATTATTCAGTGTTTTAAAACGCTCACTTTTCAGATTAAGAGACATCCCCAAGTACATGGGCACCTGCATGGGGCACTGAGCTATTGTAGAAAGAACAGGCACTTGGCTCCAGGCTGACTTGGGGATGCCTTGACTCTCCTCTTCTCACCCTCCACATCCAATCCACAACCAAGTCCTGTCAACTCTGCTCCTAAGACACATTCCAAATTTGTTCCCACAATCTCTCCTCTGGCCCACTCTAATAGCCTCTTACCATCTCCCCACTTCCTGTGCCCCCCTATTATCCATTCTCCACACTATCTTTGCAAAATGGGAATGCTTGAACTATTACAACTGATTCTCATTGCACTTCAAGTCTAAACTCCCTTCTGTGCTCCAGACACCCTTTCTAACCTTGTGTCTCATCATTCTCTTTCACATTAGCACTGGTCTTCAATGTTTCCTCAAACTTGCCAAATGTATTTGTGCCTCAGAACCATTGTACAAGCTGCCTCTATTCCTCGAATGACTTCTTACAAATCCTCAAAGTACTGGCCCCTTTTTACTCTCCAGGTCTCAGCTCATATGTCACCTACTCAAGGATAACTTTCTTGACGCACTTCCCACCCCCCCACCCTCCATCTCATCACTGTGTTACGAAAATTTCATTTCAATCAAAAACTTTGTTTACTCATTTGTTTGCTCATTTTTATTTGTTTGTTTGGTTGGTTGTTCTTGGTCTCTCTCCAGCAGCCTTGCCCAAACATCATAAGCTTCTGGAGAGCAGCCGACATTGGTGCTTTGAGAAGGGAAATGCCGAGCTAGACATTATATACACATGATACAGTGAAATAATATCAAACAGCAGATACAGAAAAGCAGTGAAAATTTATATCTCTTAACATACCACTTAAGCTAAATCTAACATTTACTCCTGTGTAATGAAGAATTTGGTGGGTCTATAGTCCCAATTCCTGGGAGGTAATCTCTAAACCCTTGGAATTTTCCAATGTAGGAGCGTCTTTGTTATTCATGGTGGACTCTTAAATGGTTTGTGCTAATGGGATGACTCAAGATGGAGGCTAGCCACGCCAGAAAGACCACCCACGTGATTAGAAGGTTGGGGCTTTTAGCCATGTGATATTGGAGCGACTTCTGGGAGAAGAAGGGGCTAGAGACTGAGCCATGAGAGCAGTGACTCAATCAATCATGTCTAGTAACGAAGCCTTGATAAAAACCCTGGACAACGAAGATCAGAGGTTTGAGTGAGCTTCCCCGGTTGGCAATACTCTTTGAGTACTGTCAAATTTAGATGCCATGAGGGCAACCCTCAGCCCTTCCCACTGGAGCGCCCTCCACACCAACTCACCTGATAAGATCCAACGGCTGCTTTTTGTATATGCTTCGAGGATGAGCCCATTCCCTGTACAGAAGGTACCGTTCATTAGGGCAGCCGAGATCCTCTGATGGACGGCCAAAGTTGCACTGGGAAGCAGAAGCAAACAAGTGAGCAACCCAATCACTATGTATTCACAAATCTGTTTATTAAATGTGATACTAACACTTCACAGTCATTTGTGAATAAGGGGCCCTCATTTGCTAAAAGGGAAGGAAATACTGTGTAATTTTTTGTGTGTTTGTTTTTTGTGTTGCCCTGTGCTAACATCTGCCAATCCTCCTCTCTTTTTGCTGAGGAAGACTGGCCCTGGGCTAATGTCTTGACATGAGTACAGCCATGTTTGGCCGCTCCATTGACCTACAGCCACCAGCACAAAAAAGAAATACAAGGCTGCTTTCTGCGTGGTGGGAACTGGCCCTTCTCTCACGGAGGGAGTTGCAAGTTGTAACATTTCAAGGCTCTTGGAGCGTCGTAGCACGGGATGGACTGGCCATCTGTGCCGGGCTAGGACGATAACCAAAGAGAACAATGCACGTACGCAACTACTGGGCTGGGACGTTAGCCAGGGGGCTCAGTGCACGTACGCCACTGATAACCATTTGTGCATGGGAACACTAAATGCTTGCTCTGCAAACTCTGTAGTTGCTTACTCTAAAAATTACTGATGGTATAAAAACTGCTAGAAACTGAGACCGGGTGAGAGTTCCACCTGTGGAAGGGACACCTTGCCCAGGACGTGTGATCCTTGCCCAGCCGTGTCGATTGACAGGACTCTCCCGGCAGTGGGGCGTGGATGTTGTGAGTAATTGATTTGATATGAAGTAATTGATTTGATGTGTTCTCTTTTCGGTTAACCTGGTGTTTCTCTTTCCGGTTGATTTGTGTCATTTCTCTTCAGCCGATGTGGGTGTTTTCCCTTTCCAGTCGGGCTGATGTTTTTTCCTCTTAATATTTGACCTATTTGATCTGTTTGCAGACTGTCACCTTTACTATCCTCTATATAATAAAATATACCTTCAGCCCATTTGTTTGGAGTGGAAAGTGTCTTTTACGTCTCCGATCGAATCCCCGAACCTCTGATAACAGCTAACAACTGTGCCCATCTTCCTCCACTTTATATGGGACGCCACCACAGCATGGCTTGCTAAGCGGTGCGTCAGGGCGTGCCCGGCATCCGAACTGGTGAACCCCGGGCCGCCACAGCGGAGTGCACACACTTAACCACTTGCACCACCGGGCCAGCCCCTACCATGTAATTTTTACTGATTCTCAACCAGGGGTATTACTAACCCCATGAGAGCTATCTGTGAATGTGCGTGGGGAGGAATGCTTGGTTGGTACAATCCTGGGAAACAGGTACTTGGTACTTAGTGGGAGCCCTAGGGATGCTTAATGTCCTATAAGTGGGCCAGTCCTAAATAACGAAAAATTGGGCTGCTCAAGTGCCAAAACTGCCACAACGGAGGAACACCTAATAGTCAGCTCCCTCCATGGACAACCGGGGAAACCAGGGCCTTAACTGGTTAGCAGCAGGGTCAATGCTAAAACCCAGGCTTCTTTGTCCCCCAGTTCAGCAATTATTCTGTGACAACATGTAGAATATAAACAACAAAGAAGCTTGACATCATGTTATACACATAGCTTATTCAAGAAACAAAACTTCCTGCCTCTGCTTAAATTCAGTCACCCTTCTTCTCACCTGATTCATTTTCCTTCCTCCTTTACTAGAATCAGATTATCACCCAGCCAAGCCTTAACATGGGTCCTGACTTCCACTCACCTCCCTTCCCAAATACTACACGAGATCATTCCTCAGCCTAGATGTGGGATCACTGCAATTACAAGAGGCTTTAGAGGCCAAGAACTGAGCACAGGCAGATTCCAACTGAATCCTATAGAACCTTGGCATCCCAGATGAACAGTCGTGACAGCTATTTGCTAGTGTCCCCAGAGTTCATGTCATGCTATAATTGCTAATTTTGCTGGGGCACAAATATAGAACACACAGACTGTCAGGCCGGACTGCTACGCTGGTTTTCTCAGCCAGGAATCTCAGCGTCTGCTTCTCCGCCCAGCTTCCTGTCTTCCATTAATGCATGTGTATCAAGCAGCTGTTTAGTGTCCTAGTTTTATTCTCTTATACAGTACATTTCAATATTGTCTTCATCCACAAATCCATGTACCACACAGTAGCAATTATCAATCTCAGTCTCTACTTTCTTTGGACTTAGGGATTCAGATAAATTGATAGTGAACGTAACAAAATAACAGTGCAATATAATGTAGTATTTAATTTATTTCAATGACAGAATTTATTTAAAGAGCTTAGATATAACATCCCTGCATTTATGGAATCATTAAGGATCTGAAGCAGTCACATTTTAAAAATTTCATTTCATGAGAGATATTATCGGCTAGAGAAGTGCTCTTGAATTTGAGGAGTTGCTGTCATCTCAGAACGTAGTCTTGAAAAAATGTCAACACTGCCATATTGCCATTGTGACAAGGACCCTGACAGATGCCTTTTTAAAAGCCCTGTGATATTCCAGGGCACAGTTTGAAAAGGGTACTTCAGGGAGGAAAAAGTCTGAATTACAGAAAATGATAAATGAGAAGGTCTAATATATATTTTGCTTACAAAGAACTAATACTTTTCTGGTTGATAATAACATCTGTCAGTAATTATGGAAATAGCTAACACATATATATCACTTATTATATGCCAGGGACTGTTCTAACATTTGACATGGATTACTTAATCCTCACAACTTTATGAGGTAGGTACTATTATTATCTTCATTTTACTGATGAGGAAATTAAGGAACAGAGAAGCTAAATGATTTTCACACAGTCATCCAGTTGGAAAGTGGCAGAGCAGGCATTTCAGCCCCAGAGTCCATGCTCTTAACTGCTAATCTACACTGCTTTGCACACTAACTATGGGAGAGCTACTGTTCACTCATTCATTCATTCACTCACTCACTCAAACTGAGTACATTATCTATGCCTGGGATTCAGCAGTGAACAATACAACCTGGTTCCTGCCCTAAATGAGTTTGTCATCTTGCAATATATTATCTTCATTTTAGTGAGGAAGAAACCTAAGGTCAGGAAGATTCGCCCTTCCCTGTTAACACTGGATAGACACTACGTATTTTATTTCATTTTTGCCATTTGACTTACATCATGGAGAGGAAAAGCTGCTTTGTAGATCCCAGAGTTTACAAGTCTGTTGATCCCAAACTTTTTAACGTTGCCCTTCACTTCATAATTGACCCGAGAAAGGATGAAGTAAACCTAAAAAGATTCCAAAATAGAATGTGTGGTTTATACAGTGTAACTAACCAATCGTTGTTTACTATTGTAACAGGAATCCGTAGGCATATTTCTTTTCCTTTCTTTTGGCAGCTTTAAAAACAAAACTAAACCAACCAAACCAAACCACTAATTATTCAACAGCAGGTTCCAAATCACCCCAAGACAGCAACTAAATTTGATTTAGACTTACAATGCGGCTTCTGGTGGCTGGATTGAAGAAGGTATCTCTATCATGAATATAAAAATCATTCATCCGGTTCTTCTCAAATGGGGCAGTGAAAAACTCTTGCTCTGGCTTGATGATACTTTCATCCACTTGGAGGACTTTGGTAAACCAGTTGAAATTACCGAAGGCTGAGGACCGGGTTTTCAGATCATTGGGTTTCAGAGGCAATTTGATGTGCATTATCTCAGCATATGTACATAACACCTCCCACGGGGCATGCACTTTTACAAATACAAGCTTGTCATCCAAAACCTATATTGGAAAAATAAAAATACAAACTAGGAAATCAAACCAACTATTTTCACAATTTTAAAACACATAGATTTTTCTTATGTTGCTGCTAGTTAAAACACATGCATGCGTGAACACACACACACACACACACACACACACACACAGGATGCTGGTAAAAGTGAAGCTATAATAAAAATAGATTTGCAAACCAGTATAAATTTTTGCCTTAAAGATAATTTCTTGGTTCAAATCATTGAGAAAGTAATTAAAATCCTTATCATAGTTCTTTCATAAAATTACTAATATTTTAAATGAAGAAAAGCAAACTTGTTAATTTGCCCACCACTCCATTCAAATTAGTGACTAAAAATAAAAACACTACAATATTCATTGCAGTGTTATTATAATGATAATTTTTTAATTTCTTAAACCTAGAAAAGGACTGTTTAGTTTATTATATATCTGTTCAATATCATGTTATGCAGCCATTAAAAAGGATGTCAGGGCCGGCCCTGTGGCTTAGCGGTTAAGTGTGCGTGCTCCGCTGCTGGCGGCCTGGGTTCGGATCCCGGGTGTGCACCGACGCACCGCTTCTCCG